CATTTTTACCGCGTGATAATTGATTGACAATTTGTTAGAGAATTAAAATGATACGCGTGATCGAGGGTATGCACATTTTCTCGGCGTGAATATGCACGTGGTACGCTATGTTATTGTAACACGCCACATAGAAATTGATTGATTAAAATATATTATATTTTTTGTCTCGGCGGATTTAATATACGCTCGGTGTAATGTACGTATATCGAGATATCGTTGATGCATTGTTACAAATACATATAGAGTTGCGATATATGCGCGGCGGCGAATTCCAATGTCAATCGATCGCGCGCCGAGATTTTGATCGATGACCTTCGAAATGGAAACCAGTCGATGGGTGGCTAATGGAACATTTTCTCGCCTATTACAGCTGCTCCAACTAAAACGAGCCGAGTCAACTCAGCATTTGCGTATGTGTGCTGTAATGTGTAAATACGTATCAACAACAACAACAACAACGAGGTTCTCGTTAAGCCGAGCAGACTCGACATATGTACGAATTTGAGCCGATTGCACAATATAAGCATGATTCCCACCTACTCTCGCGCGGGCCATTCGCAAATTGAATCCGCCCACAATCACAGCCTCGGATACATCACACGATATCCTTTTTCTTTTTTGTTTGTCCTCTGCGAGGTGCTCATCCAATCGGCAGCAACTGACCCGCCACCATCTCCACCTCAAGTAGCAGCAGCAACAGAGAAACTCGGGCTCTCGAGCAACGGAAATGGAATAAAAAATATCGCGTCTTATGAGCCCGGGTAAGTACTGCGTATATAGGCATAAAATATATTGTAAAAGAGAATAAGTAGGAGGAGGAGGAGGAGGTCGGTACGCACAAGGTTTATGGAGCTCCTGAATATGTTTTTCCTTGGCCGCTGCCGCCGCCAGGAGTACACGCGCGTACACCTCTACCTGTATATATAGCGTATAACGCGCGGCGAAAAAGCCAACCGGTTTTATTATATGCGTGTGCGCGCGAGCCGTGCTACGCCCGGTGCGGATCGAAAGCGCCGCAAGGATAAATAAATATAAGCTTTCCTTTCGCTGCTAGCTCGAGTACGTGCATACACGTATACGTACTGCGCAATATTATATACGCACACGCATCTCGCGAGAGAGAGAGAAGCGAGTTTAGGGCCATACGCGGAGGCCTTTTCTTTGTTGCTCGAAACGGAGTACTGCATGTGTATATGTAATATGCCGATCGACGCGCGAACGAACGTATGTATCGGCTGCAGCGGCACGCACACGTGTCTATATTATGTAGAGCGGCTCGACTATCGAAAACCATAAGGGACAAAGAGAAAAACAGCTAGTCGCGGAGCTCGCGTATCCTTATGTAAACGTGCGCGACTGTGTGCGTGAGAATTCACATATAAGTATACGCTTGGCTTATAGGTAAGAGTAGCAACAAACAAAAAATAAAATAAGAATACGTGTATAGCGTTACCTAGGCTCTCCATATACAAGGTTCGATTCGCCACTACCTACACTGGCCGTCGATACGTATTTAATACGAGCTCGCGCGGCCTAGGCTAGTTTTCCGATTAGTTACACCGCGCGCCTATATCGTGCTATTACATATATATCGATGATAAAGCCAATTACCGCGCGGCTCTTACAACACTATCGTACGGCCGCACGTATACACACTAGCGATCCGTAGATACCCTTTAAACACTCGTATACACAATTTATCCTGCAGGGAGTCAGCGCGTTGCATTGTTTTGATGCAGCTGAACTCACGCGAGAACTGAGAGCCAAAAGTTATGTTCCGAGAAACTGTGCTGAGCAGCTGCACGCGTACTGAAGGCGCAAAATTTCTCCCGTCGCGTAAACTGGATGGATATCGGCCAACGAAATCGTTTGACTTTTGTGGAATTCGTTCGCGGCAGTGCGTTAAATATGTATCGGAAGTATACGTGGCTGCAGAGCTACGCTGCTTTTGGCAGGTACATATATAATATACACTTATTGTACAGCACTTATTGTGCCGATAGATCGCCGAGGTATGACACATACATTTTCCATTGTTATAGGCGCGAGCAGCCCATTACGTTGGCCACGTGTTTATTATAATAAATACAGCCGATTTCGAGTGAGAGCCGGTTAAGGATACATGGTACACTTTGAGACGCAAAACTTATACTTATTACGCTTGCGTAAAACTTTGCGAATGATTCAATCTGTACAGTCGCATATTTTTGTTTTTTTTCAAAAAGGTCCTACTTCGCGACTATTTCGACGAACATAAAGATTTGTAGGGAGGATATTGTAGCGACAATCCAGAGTATCGAGAATTCGAATACTCGTAAGAGATCGACTTGAATTTTAAAATAATTCTCATTGATCATCACAAACAACAAAATATGAGTTGTTGAATACATTGAAATTATGTAATAATATAGTAGTATGTAAATCGTGTACGTAAACATTTGCTCGAACGAATTTCGTGAAAATGTAGCAATAAGATAATAAAAGACTACGAAAAGAAAGAATTCTTCGCAAAACAAAAATTTCCGGAACAAACGTACATTTATTGTACTCGTTTCACAATAAATAAAAGGACAGATTTTAATATTTCTAAGCATAGCACTCGCTCTCGCAAGTACGGATTGTAAAAAAAACGCCGGAAAAATACAAGAACGCAGTGCACGCACAAAATACCTCCGACAATTATTATTATTATTTGTTGCATTATGCATTTGTTGGAAAGGCTGCGCTCGAGCTCGGCTCGATACTTGCTATCGCTGCTCGTTTTTCGCGCTCGCAGCAGCAGCAGCAAAATCGTAAGAGTACAGAGCGTAGTACCTGGGGCGCGATATCTCCCAGGAGAGCCGTGAGCCCGGCAACGCGCATAGCTACACGTGTTTGTTCCTTCCCTTTTATCATATTATATAAGCGGCTGCCTCGTCGATTATTATTTCACGCCTGATTTAACGTTAAAAATGTTGCTCTCGTTCCTCTCCCCGCGTACATATAACGTTCACTTTGTTATGTGTCGTCGGCGGGCGCGGAGGTTGCCTCCGAACGGATTAAAACGCCCGAAAATAATGGCAGCGCATCTATATCGCCGACGATGGTTTATTCATATAGAAAATGGGCGTATAATATTTTACCTTGGACTTTGTTGAAACCTTTGTTATAAATACGCGCAAGCTCTGCCTACTACCTACCCCCCTCGATGCACGCGTATATACTATATGTGGCGCTCTTGCTCCGCTGCGCGAGCTGCGGTGTAAACAAAACTCGGCTCTATATACACGACAAACGCCAAACCACATAGCCCGCGAGTGATTTTGGAAATGCATATTTCAGGTGAACACGGCTCGCTGCCATATAGCCGCCACCGTCGCCCGTATACAGCCGACGCTTACGCGTGTAAGGGTAAATGTTGCAGCGTGTGCAGCGGCCCGACTATCGTGTATGCGCCTGTGTTATAGATGCGCGCGGCGCCGTAGCGCAGAGGCGAATCGCGCGTATGCACCACTACTACATGCGTATACGCGAGCTCGTCGCGCATAGAGAGAATAGATATATTCTGCATACATACGCGTGCTACGTGTACTACTACGCAACGCGTGTGTGCAAGAGTCAACGCGGGATAACGATCTTGTTTCGGGCTTATATGTATATTTCACTTTTATACGCGGCGCATGTCAGATATCGACGATATAAATATTCAATTTACGAGAAACAGAGACAACGAGCTGGATTCAAAGGAGAAAACACCTCTAAACATTTGTTTCTATTCTCCCCGTTCTCTCTTTCTCTCTCTCTCTCTCACTGGCCCGAGCACGCCTGTGTGTTGCTCTAAATTTTCATTCGACTCGCTCTTTTCAACGTTCAAAGCTTCGCAAAAAACAATTGCTTTTTCTCGTATTTTTTATTAAGAAAAAAGCTCCCTTAGCGTGACTTTTGCGACTATAAAATTCACTTTTTACAATTTTCATTAAAACTTCAGCTTAATTTAAGTTATGATTATTACCAACCATATTTCCAGTATCAATACTTTTAGAAAATCTCGAAACGCGCAGATGCTATATTACATAAAGTATCTATGAAACGACATTTTTTAACAAAAATGTAATAAAACTATAAACTCAGTCAAAATCTGCATAAAAAATCATTTTCGAGCACCATTGCATATCAAAATATAAATATTCTATTCTTAACGGATCTTTATCGCGTTTAAACTCTTTAACGATGGTCCTTTTGTTAGTCTAACTTTTGAATACTTCCAAATACACGGCTTATTTAAATAAAGCCGTTGCAATTACATAAAACATGAATTGACCAGTTAACTTTGACACTATTAAAGTGCATTTAAATAACAATGGCTTATAGCCGAGTTTACCTCGTAAATTCGTCGCTCCGAAGTGCGCGCATATATCAGCTTGTTGTTAGTATAAGCAGCGCACAACAATACATTAGTTCACTTCCGCCGAGTCCTAAATTTCGTAGGCCGTGCATAATGCGTGATTGAAGATGTGCGATGTCCAAGTTCTCTCGGGGGAAATCATATGTAACGGACAATTCATCATTATCGATCAGCGCACATTTATGAAGCGTTAACTGTCACACGCCGAGGTAAATGATGAGATGTGCTGCGCTGGCTACGCACGAGCGCTCGCGAATGCCCTGTAGCGCCCGATTAGAAGATATGATTATTGCACTGCAGATATCCTCCGCACACCGTATAATACATAAATATATCGAAGTTATTGTCAAGTTATAACACTTATCATAATTGTAACGTAGCATGAATGCATTTTAATAACTAGTTACTTGCATCATAAATAGTTTTAACGCGATCTTGAAATTCAATTGTTTGACGTTGTATAAAATTTACTACTCATAACCACTCGAATAATATCAATGATTTGAATGTTCATAATATTATTACATTGCTTCTTTTTCTACAAATTTAAATTCCATATTTTTATAACAACCAATTCATCATTTTGAGAAGAGTTAATAAATTTATTCATTTGGCCATTAACAGAAAATATCAAAACTTAAACTAATACTTTTCTATAGACCTAAATTTCATATCATCAATAAACTTTGAGAACGAAGAGAACAATCATTTTTATATTCAGCATTGTGCATTTTGTACAGAATTTTCTTTTTAAATAACTGCAAGTTTCTGATGAACAACGAGACAAATTCTTTTCTATATTTTTTTGCGTATAATTCGCTTAAACTTATGAGAACTGTGCTTAAACTTTAACATTTATGTACATTGGCTTTGGCGTCCTTTACAAGTAAAAAATAAGCTAAAAAAATAAAATAAACAATTAAATGTAACAATATTCTGGTTTCAACTCTCCACTCTTAAGGCACTAAGTTGATCACATTTATAACTTTTGGAATGAAATAGTTTTCATTGTAGCATTTTATAATCACAAAAGTTGCATCAAAAATAAAAATAAATGTCGAGTTATTCATCTTTCCTAGTCTTTCAGGGCTATTCTTCTATTAAATTAGAAATTTCTTCTACATAACTAGTTTTACTTATAATTGGCTCCAATGGTTCCATTGTTGATGGAATTTTTTCGGCTTTTAATTTTGATACATCATCTAATAATGATACATCTTCAGTAGATGAAGTATCAGCACCAGCTAAAATATTTTAATTATAAGCAGTGATACTTTGAAGAACAATTCATTTTATATGATAAATAAGATTCCTTACTGTCCCCTGTAAATTTTGAATCTTTTTCATCTTCAATTTCTGCTTTGAGATAGTTGAATGTTTCTTCCATATTTTCATCATCAGTAGAAAAGTGTAGGTATGATAAAATGCACACGAGTACTATGAAAAACAAGTTGGTACTAATGCCAATAAAGGCTGACAAAATGGGCCAATGAAACATTAAGTATCGCAAGCCTGATAAATGTGCTCTTATGACAACCGATGCTGAATAAAATTCAATTTGACGTGATTGAATTTCAATATGTAAGACTGTTGCTGGATGACTCTGAAATTTCAATAGTAAAAGTTATTATTGCAAACTTAAATTATGATATTAATTGAGTGATAAAAAATGCATTACTTGATCTTCTTCAAAGTTACCAAAAAGCTCCAGAACAACATTTTGCTTTTCTTCAGCAGATCCAAATATCATCATAGGTGAGAAAGTAAGTGTTTTCAGAGTATGCAACAAATCACTGCGATAGTGTAACATAGCTGATCTACAGGAATGAGCAACCATGTATGCATTTCGACTACGCATTTGGGCACACACCATAAACATACCTTTAAAAGCATCATGGTGGTACTATCTCATATATCAAATTTAACAAATGCAGTAGATTAAAAATTATAACTGCTACCATACCTAGATCTTTGTTAGCAGGAGATTCAGGCATTTCTAATTGTAAGTTTACTTTGTACGGCTGACCAACCATAAATGCTTGTTGTTTGTTGGTGATGTGAACATAAGCTGAAGGAAAACTGCACATTCCTTTCACCCCCTTTTCTTGATCACATGCCCTAAATAATACAAATTTCCATGAAAAGTGTAAACAAAACTTATAAATCAATACACAATTCAACTGACCTAAATTGAAGGTGCACAGGTCTGACATATGTCATACTTGGCATGTAAGCATAGTAGAAGGCTGTGTACAAAAATATTGAAATCCAAACTATAAGAATTGCAACTATAACAATCAATCCTCCTCGAAACATAGCATCCTTGGCCGATTGCACCCCATCTGAAGTTTTTTTCTGAACGTTGAACCATTTTTCAAATATTCTGTCGATTATATTATTGATAATATTAGACATCGTTCACTCGAATTTAAAATTTTCGACTGTAGACTGAAGATTTCGTGGGTTTTAATATCATTGCTTAACGCTCGCCGCAGATTCATGTAACTTTTCACTGTAACTCTCGATAAGATTAGCGTGTATCTTGCTATGCCAAGCTAATTTGAAGGAGTAATCATCAATTGACTGCATCAAGTTGTCAAAATTTGCAGATGTCACAATACGTATACGTAAATTTTGTGAGAAGATTATTGCAGTTCTAAGTCATGATTATGTATGTTAACTTGAACAATTTTAGCACATGTTCCACCTCTGATACTATCTAATCAACGTGTAAATTGCAAGATGCAATAATTTAAAAACCACTTGTTCACTCATAACGTCATAACCTAACAAATAACATTCATTCTATGTATTGAGTGATGATAATGTAATTCACTCTCTTATCACTCAGAAATAATTGCAGGAATCCTCGATATCGTCGATAAAGTTTTGAAATTTTGTATAAATGTTGTTTTCTCGTAGCTAATACGTAAATCATATGAAACTTACTAGAAATACAATAAAATGGGAAGCACAAATATAATTGATTAAAATTTGAAATAATCAGAGTATTTGAAGTGCTCTCTAACTTCTGGAACTTTAATTTCGTTAAAAGGATAGGTAGCACTACATTTCTCAAACATTATAATTTATTAATGCAAGTAATATCTGTGTAAATTAATTTTGAAAAGAGTAGCAATGCTATCGATAAATTACAACAACAATAATCTATTCAATTCACTGATATATTTACCATTTTAAACTACTTAACATCTGGATTTGGACTAGGGAGTACATTTTGATCTCTTGTTATATTAACATTCATAATATGAAGTTTCAAAGCAAACAAATGTTTTTAAAAATTTGGCTGTATTTTTCTGAGACCCCCGAACCTCCTTAAGGCTAATTGACGAAAGCAATTCCGGTCAGTATAGATATATCAATTTTATCATTCATAATTATTTGATAATACATAGTCAGATAATAAAAATCTTTTTTTAAATTGATTATGACACCCGATGATCAAAATCGCAGAAAATTAGCTCATGTTGTCGAATATTTTCCTTTAACTTTCTACATTTATTGTAACTGATCACTGTTATCGAACTTATTTTTTAAATCAATTACTTTGAGCAAAAAAATTGATCGCATATTTAAACAATATAATTGTTTGATTACACGGTCAGGAAGCGAAAAACTGGAAAGCTTCAGAGGACGTAATCAGTCGAAACGGATAAACCAAGGCTTCCTTTTTTCATAGGTGCGTATACTATTTTTCAGAAGTCTTCCAGTAGAAATTAATTTTTTTATGGCATCCGAACTTTGACTTATACCATTATTTTTACTTTGCCACTTGCAGATTTATAGATAAAAGTGCTCGACATCTAGTGGTAAACGCTTAAAATAGCGTGATCGTATTTAAAGTGGTTATAAACTGATCTAAAAAAACCTCGAAAACAAGTCAATAAATTCTCATGTAATATTTTAAAATATTTTAAATGGTTATTTTTTAGTCATTAGACCAATATTAGGCTTTCTAATTTTCAGCCCCCTAGTCATGTAATCTACCATTAAGTTGTATAGTGGTACAAATAAGCAATAGGTATAAGGTTTTTTTATTAACTGAAGCTCATTATCAATTTATTATACTTATGGAATACTTGATTCAATATGCATTGTAGGACTGTTACTGAGAGTTTATAATCAGACACACATGATTTCAAAGAAAGTGTACATGACTAATGATTTGACTGCGATAAGTTTGCGTTTTGTTTCGATCAGACATGTTCTCAAATAATACAAATAGTAAAGATACATTTGTACGCTTTTGCTGTTCTTGAAGTTGTGAACCCTGAATGTGGGACAATGTTTCTTTTCACGACTTAAGATAGAGACTAGACTTTGTATTCGTTTTAGTTAAGATTTTTTCATCCAAAAAACTATTACTTTTCTATACGATTTATTTTATTCAATCGAATCGAAATCAATATTCAAATAAAATTGTTTCAACACTCGGGGGTAGACAACCTTCTTAACCCGTTTTGTGCCATTTATTTTTTCCGCAAATAAAATAAAAAATTAATCGTAACTGTGTAAATCGCATCTTGAATAATATTTGTAAACATCATTGACAACAAACATTTTTTTGTATGTAAACATAAGTGCTCTCAGTAGACAATTTTATCTGAGCATAAAAATTTAAGTCTCGAGCCGATTAGATTTTGCGACGAGAATGATAGGTATTTCTTTAATCGAGCACAAACAGTCAATCAATTACTTCTTCCGGGAAAGAAAAATCGCTTTCAGGTGGACGAACACGTATTCGGTTTTGCAACGCTCATTCGGATAGAATTTCATGCAGTTGAAGAGCATTTTCACCGAAGTTGAATTTGTCACTTGTCAATTTTCCCTGAAGTTGCCCAGTTCGAAATTCACTCGGTGAAATTGGATTTGCGCATTGCACCAGATAACCGAAAATTATCTCAAATCGACGAATTGTACAAGAAGTGGCAAGAAGTCTTTATCTTTATTTACAAACAGTCGCAACTCGAAGCGTAGTTACATGAATTCTAATTTCACGTGGCCAATTAAAATGGAAAAATTTTCTACTCTTCATCCAACACTTCGCGTGTGAACTTGAACCGTCGTGGAGCCCGCATTTCAATAAATTTTTACGCAAGAAATCTTGAGCAATGTCATGGGCTTTTGGCAATATTCACCTGCATACGTATATGTTTACTGATTACAAACACGAGTAAAACATCATTGTTTGCAAGGCCGCTCGCACGTGCCAAATGAATTATCGCAAAATTTCCTACTCCATTATTCAGAAACAATTTTATCATTTCCACGATTATAACAATCACTTCGCTATTCATATTTTTATTATAAATTTAATAAAAATGAAGTAAATAACATTTTTATCTGTAAAATAGCCAAAAAATTTATCATCGACGTAATTAGTAACTAGAACAACGTGCAGCTCGTATCACTATATAGTCATCCTTCAGGTGAAGGTTTGACCTACATTAATAAATCTTGTTTATCTCAGGGAAAAATCCATTTATGAATATGTTTTTACTTTCTGTTTCTGAATAAACAATAAGTGCAACAATAAAGATAGCAGAACCCCGTTACTCAAAATTTTAATTCTCATATGAGTGTCTAGGAAAGCGAAATTGCATCAGTTTGAAAAATGTCAGATACAATCGATTTGATAATAATCTTCGCGAGAAAAAAAAACAAAAAGAGAAAAAATTTTGCAGGTTTGATTGGTATCAGACGAAAAATTAAGGTACGCGATATGAGAAACTGTTCAATTACTGGAGACTATATTAGCTAGATGCAAAATTAACAAGTGGGGATTGACTCTTTATATAAATACGCGTCACCGGCAACAAAGTCACTCACAATTTTATCTCCGACTAATGACAAAGGGTAATTATATTTATTCTCTATTACTACTTTGTGTTTGTTGATCGGTTGGTTTTATATAAGTATATCTATCATTTTGAAGAGTTTAAATTTGATTTTCGTTTTTGTATTTTCTACAGATGATCATGCGGATCGTTTTAGTGCTTCTCGCTGTCGCAGCTTTTGCGACAGCTGAAAAAGTTAGTTTTCAAAATTATAAAGTTTTTCGTGTGGTACCAAAGAGCACAGACGAACTGGAACTTCTGAGACACCTAGAAAATTACAATGGACAGGTGAGCGCGTCTTTTCGATAATTTACATGCTCTTAAAAAATTATTTGAGCGAATGTATGAGTGAAACTTTTCAAAAGCAGTTCTGGAAATTCATGATTTAATATTCTCTTAGAAAGCCTTATGGTAATTTGAAAAAAAATAAGCGAAAATGTCAAATAACTCGACTGTGCTAAATATTGTACACTGCAAATTAAAAAAAGAATTTATTTTTATGTTGGCTTTGACATCTCTTGAAGAACTAATTTAAAGTATCCGTCGTTGTTTATAATTATCTTTAGAAAAAAAGTGTAGAAAACCTCGGTCTTTACTTGTAGCAATCGATAGGAAATGTTATAGTGTGTGAGTCGGATAATGGACCTTGAGCGCGTGCGATTCATCTGCATAATACTTATCACGTTTCATCGTCGTCCGGATCGTAAAACGCAGTGTAAACTTTACGATTTCTTGCAGTATTCTTACTGGAGCTCGCCCAACAAGGTAGGTCACGCGGTCGACATAATGGTCAGTCCGCAGAGTCAATCGGACTTTGTCAATCTGATGTCGTCATCGAACGTGCACTACCACACTTACATCGAGAACGTGCAGCGGCTGATCGACACCGAGCAGCCGCTGACTCGCGAAGGCGGCTTCGGCTGGAAGAGATACCACACTCTCGACGAGATTTATGCCTGGCTCGAGTACCTCGGCAAGCAGTATCCCGGACAGGTGAGGGTCGTCGACGGCGGCCGTACGTACCAAGGTCGCCCGATCAAGGGGGTCGTCTTGAATTTCGGAAGACAGACCAACGGCACGGAGAGATCGACGGTGTTCATCGAAGGCGGCATCCACGCTAGAGAATGGATATCGCCCGCAACGGTGACTTACATCGTTAATCAATTCCTCACGAGCGAACAGCCGGAAGTGCGCCGATTGGCCGAGTCCTACGAGTGGCACATCTTCCCGTCCTTCAATCCCGACGGATACGTCAACACTCACAATAGAGTTAGTGCAGCGCGTTTCTTTATATTTTACACTCGTATCTCGCGGACAAATGTTTATGATGTTTATTTTTTAACTCGCAGAATCGCTTGTGGCGGAAAACTCTGTCGGTAAATGGATTTTGCCGAGGTGCAGATGCCAACCGTAACTGGGGCTACAAATGGATGAGTAAGATTCATCTACTTATTGAATTATCATGGCCAACGCTCGAACAGCCGAGTAAAAAAATTTACTTACAGGTGGCGGTGCCAGCAACAATCCTTGCTCCGACACGTTTGCCGGTAGAAAAGCCTTTTCCGAAATCGAAACACGAAGCATGGCCGAGTACATCGATACTGTCGGTAAAAAACTATACGCTTACATTTCGTTCCACAGCTACTCTCAACTACTGTTGTTCCCGTACGGACATACTAAAGCTCATTTGGATAATTATGATGAATCGGTGAGTAATTGAAGACAATTTTTTTAATTAACAAATTATAGATAAAAATTTATTAGCCCGATCTTGCGTAAAAAACAACTTTAAAAGTTACCAAAATATATTAATCAATAATATTAAATATGCAACTTCAGTAAATTCATTTCAAATATGTTAATTTTATTTTTCATTTTTACAATCAAATTAATGTGCAAATAGATTATTTATTAAACGATTCAAGTTATTTTCGTTAACAAACAAAATTGATTCCCTTGGGAATTCCAAATGAAGACAATTTTGTTTGTTCTGTATAGTATTGATATTTGATAATCAAGCTTAATCTTATTTTTTATAAACACGTAAGAAATAAATTCCAGAAACAATAAACTAATTCATATCAAATAAACAACCACTGTCAAAAATAATACCATTTTATCAATAATCACAACGAAAACCCGATGGCACATACTGATTCATATTGAATTTTTGATTTGATACATATTTAATATAAATTTGAATATTTTATTTATCAAAAATATGTCTTTTTATATTTTCAGCTGAGCATCGGTAAAAAAACTGTTGCGGCTCTTGCCAGAAGATACGGCACAAAATATGTTACTGGAAATGTTGCTGAGACCATATGTAAGAATACTTTAAATTACCTTTAACTTATTTCATATATTTTTGTCCTCGAACTAAAACATTAATTTAAAATTTTTTTTAACTTAGACGTGGCTAGCGGTGGATCCATGGACTGGGTTAAGGCAAAGTATAGAGTTCCAGTCGTTTTTACATATGAACTTCGAGATACAGGTGACTACGGTTTCCTCTTACCAGCAAATCAAATAATCCCGAATGCGGAAGAAGTTTTGGATTCTCTTCTGGCTATGTTCAAAGAAGCCAGAGTCACGATAGCCAATTAATAAAGGAATGTTTTACATGACGTAAAATTAATTATACAAAGTTTATTGTTTAAGCACGTAGGCTAATGTCTTTATTTAAGAAATTTATATAAATAAACTAGTCAAAATTTGAATGTATATTAATTGTACAATATCTAATGAGATTGAAAGTCAATTTTAATAAATTATAAAATGAATTTTGGTACTTCGAATTTCGTTATGCAATGACTAGAGATGATGAATGTACATATTGACGTAAATTAAACTATTAAATAAATTGCATACTGAAAATTTAATTGACAATGCATCGTTTCGCCATTTCTTTAAGATCTTTCCGGCTCAATTTTCCTGAGGCCGTATAAGGTAATTCATCAACAAATACAACACCTCCCCATAATTTTTTTGTTTCACCTAAAGTAGAGCTTAATTGAATGAGCTCCTCTTCAGTGACCTAAGAAGCAAACAAAATTAAATTATTATTTGTGTTAATAAGTATATCAATTTTCTAATATGATTTTGATTTTACTTTTGATCCAGGAACTTTCTTGACAAAAGCCATTGGTCTTTCTAAATCCAATTCATGTGGCACTGGAACTACGGCCGCTTCAATAACACCGTCATGAGCATTTAATACTTGTTCGATTTCAGAGGGAGACACATGGTGTCCTCGGAACTTCATTACTTCTTTTAATCGGTCAACAATAAATATTTCTCCTAAGTTAGAAAAATAAGCTTTGTCACCTGTATGTATCCAACCTGCAAAAAACTTAAATATTAGCACAAAGTACTTGGAGTAGTTTTTGGATATTTGAGATACTTTTGACTTTAATGGCTTTCACTTATTAATTTAAACGATTTTTCAACGATATTATTCATTAGAACATTTTTATGTCCTGAAAATTTGCATTTATAACACAGAAAATGAATATGAGTTTTTTCGGACAAGGGGAATCTTAGGCGTTGAATGTCATATTTCATTTTTAGAAAATTACACATGGTTCTAAAATTATTAAAAAACAATTTTCATGTTGTTCAAAATCGTGAAAGACGTGAAAATTATCATTAAGACGTGCCTTTTAATTCTATTAAAAATGACCCACGGTAAAAAAGTTCAATTTAGACAGGTAAGCTCCCTTCAATGACATGCAAATGTCTTTATAAATGTAGGTATATCGCAGAACATTACTACATATGGCTAGTCTACGGTAGAGGGGGAAAGAGTCACCAAGTAGCTATCACAATTGCGGGGTCACTTGACCAATATACACACGTGTTTACAAATGGGTAAATTTGAGGTAAAATGTTGGCTACACAAGGTAGTATAACCTCGAATATTTTTTCTACGTATTTTGTGGAAATTCATTGTGAATACATATAATAAAGACTGCTGGAAAGTAGAGTAGATATGATTAGGTATACATTTTTTTATATAAATGATGATATTCTTGAAGCGATTACTTCATCAAACTTGATTTGTCTTCAGGGTAAAGGAAGAATCGAAAGATACTGGACCAGATGCAGGTGACGATAATATTTTTGATTCTGTAAACTTATGTGAAGCAAAAAACTTTGCAACGTTCAAGTTTTATAAATCATCAGTAAGTGGTTGACATTTTATTCTACGTTTTCACAATTAAAAATTATCAATCAATTTTTATTTTAGAGAAAACACACGAACGAGACTATGTCATTTAAAAAAGAGTTCGATGAAAAAATATTCGTAGACTTTGAGTGTAAAAATGTTAAACCTGAAATGAAGTCTTTATCGACGACCATCTGCAAAATTGAGCTTCAAAGTTATCCATCTTTTGTGAAAATAGAAAATGAAAATCAGACTAATCACATAAATGATAAAATATTCATTGATTTTGCAGTACACAATCGTAGAAAACCACATGAGTGTGATATTTGTCACAAATCATTTGATTACCAAAGCTACCTGAAACGTCATATCAATGCAGTACATAATCGAATCAAACCATTCGAGTGTGATATCTGTCGCAAATTATTCGGACACAAAGGTCACCTCAATAAACACAGAAATATAGTACATGATCGAAACAAACCATTCGAGTGTGAAATTTGCCAAAAATCATTTGGAAAAAAAGGTGACCTCAATAAACACATCAATGTAGTACATGATCGAAACAAACCATTCGAGTGTGAAATTTGCCAAAAATCATTTGGACAAAAAGGTCACCTCAATAAACACATAAATATAGTACATAATCGAAACAAACCCTTCGAATGTGATATCTGTCACAAATCATTTGGAGAAAAAAGTGACCTTGAAAGGCACAATATAACAGTACATGATCGTAAGAAACCTTTCGAATGTGACATTTGTCGAAAATCATTTGGACTAAAAGGTAACTTCAAAAAACACTTATTAACTGTACATAAACAGAGCAAATCCTTATAGTGTATTCTTTGTTGCGAATCATTTGGATACTCGAATATACTCAAAATTTACTTGATAAAAGCACACAATCGTAGAGTAAATTTACTTGATGAAAGCATACAATTGTAGCAAACCAAAAATAAACTATTTCAAACTACTATTTATTTTGTTGTAAATGTGAAAAACCTTTCTCTCACCTTTCGTACATAAACTTAAACATTGAGACGATTTCATTTTTAATTCGTTCTTTTTAAATATTACTGTTCAGTTGAACTTTTTCCCAAGTACTGGCTCTTGATAAATATGCGAGTAAAAGCTCCGGGTCTTGAAGCAAGAATTATTTTTAAATTTCACAGGTTGATCTCTTAACGAATTTCCATATTCAAGCGAAAAATTAAACAACTTTAATCATCGATAAGAAAGCTCTGCCAGCAGGGACAATACAACTCACCCGATGCAAAGTATAATTTGCATCTAACGATAAAAGTATATTATTTTGCTATTATAGTTCGACTCCGATAAACTTTTATTAAAAATTACCCTTAAAAAATTGAAGCTTAATGCTTTTACTCTTAGTAAACTTTAGTTTAAAAAAGTGGGGTTTTATTCAAAGTATCCAGAAACTAGAGGGTATAAGGAAACTAGCTATATACACCAAACAAATACACGTACCTTGTTCATCGATGGCTTCTTTAGTTGCTGCTGCATTTTTATAATATCCGATCATCACCGTTGGTGTTTTTATGCATAATTCACCTTGTTGATTAGGGCCCAATATCTCTGCGGTATCGATGTCAATAATTTTTATTTGCATATTTGGAGCTACGAAGCCGACTGATTCGATACTTTGGCAACTTTGCGATTGAATCGATGCGATTCCACCAATTTCTGTCATGCCTGTAAAATCATGAAAATAAATAATTTCTTTTTATAAACGACCGGGTGATTAAAAAAATTATGTTCTGATGCCTTACCATATCCCTGACTGAATTGTACGTGAGGCTGAAGATCTCTTTTCAACGATACAATAATTTCTTTGCTCAATTTTGCGCCACCTGTCATAAGTGATTTCAGTGACTGCATTTTATATTTGGACAGAACATTAGATTTGCACCAGTAAGTAATCAAACTCGGTGGAATGAAAAACCAATTGACATTATACTTTTCAATAACTTTGCACGTTTCTTCAGGATCGAAATTGGCATGAACAACACGAGTCGCACAGGCCAAAATGGTTTGAAGCATGCACAAAGTGCCGCTTATCCAGTAGAGCGACGAGTACCACAGCGAAACGCAATTCTTAATAGACAACAATTTGAAATTTTCCAAGTTAGTGAAGAGCGTTTGATACGAATGCGTTACTCCTTTGGGCATTCCTGTCGTTCCCGAAGAAAATAAAATCATCGCCGGCGTATCTGGATTCTCAATGAGCCGAGGTTCAAACTCGAGGACCTCTTTATTACTTTGTAGGCGCATTATATCGCGAAGAGACACGAAATTTACATATTTGCCAAAAACAACGAAGTGAACATCGTGTAAGCGTTCAAGGATCGCAGCTTCTTTCAATATTTTGATTGAATTTTCACAAGCAAAGATAAACTTTGGTCTCGTCAAATTTATAAGATGCCTGGCCATTGCTGAATACAAAATAAATACTATATATTTTCGGCGTTGTGATTATAATAAATTAATAGAATAACAGAGTATTGGCAATTTTCAACATTTTTAAATTAATATTAAGAAGTTCAAAGCTTTTTTTCATCAATAAATTTAAAAAATATTGCTAATCATAATTATTAGATAAAATAATTCATTTCCAAAAAATTAATTTTAAATCTTAGAGCCGGAAAAGTTGCAAGCCAAGCTTAATTCTATTTTTTATTAGAGTATGTAAGAAGTTGACTTTTTGTTCATCAAATTGATGAAAATTACACGCGATCATGAAACCAAACTTACGTAACGTAGTTTCGTGATGCCAGGGATTATATACCGCTCCGACCAAAAAAGTGGCTATGCACGGAATGTAAGCGTCCAATTGGTTTGGTGTGCAAATGGTCACAACGTCCTCATGGTTGATGCCCTGTTTTTGCAACCACTGGGCGCATCGGATGCTATTTTCCCGCATCTCAGAGTATCTCGTTTGTTTTCCAGTTTCTGCCTCGATCTGTGTAAAAGATTAGCTTTGTTTCTTCTCCACTGACTCGGGCATTGGTAAAAACAAATGATTATCTACATACCTGTCCAACATGATTGGGATTATCGCTGAATATTTTCAGCAAAGATTTCCCGATAGTCTTGGTTTGTACGTTAATATTTTTCACTGCACCCTTGAGCACATTGTTATCGATTACGAAATTCAGCGGCTGCGTAATTTCTTGCTTGGATCCCATTTTTCACCACTGTTTTCAAATTTTACACTTCTATGTATTCACGCTAGAAACTTTAAACTCCTTCTATTTGGAAAATTATCTTGTTATTGTATACGTACATCAGTTGCCAGTGCTGGACTGACAAGCGAAAGAGAAGTGGAAATGTTCATCATTTATCTTCGCAACTATCAATGGTACACTTACGTGACATAATTGACTTAGATAATATACAATTATTGAATCAAGAAGGAACACGCGAGATGACTAGCAGATTCTTTTGTATTACTCAAATTTTTCAAAAGTGGAAAGAATTGCTTCAAAACATTAACTCTGACTTACAGCCTGATCACCTATGATAAAGATGGTCCAATAACTCTTGAGTCATCCAACATGTGCAGTGAATGATAACGATGGAATTTAAGAAAATTGCGTCTTGTCATTCATGTATTGTTCATTCATTCTTACTAATCGTGTATAGGTTATTTATTTTAAATCGTTAAGAAATTAAAACCAAAGTTGAGAATTCGCTGTGATTCTTTCACTCAATCACTCTTGTTGTATACTTACTGACCTGGATTAAAGAATAAATAAAGAGCACTTCATTTATTTTTATTTGTTTTTCAAAATAATTAAAAATTTTTATTACATACATCTTATCAGAACTAAAAATATCAAATGAGAACAAAAAATTAAAACTTATTAAAAATATGCTTGATTGATGTTTTTAAAATATTTATATTTATAATTGTAACGATTTATGCTGTATAAGTATATATTTATAGCTAAAAGTCTTGTATTTTTCATTCATATTCTATATATTTTTTATCATACGATGATGTATAATTATTTCGTACAATATAATAACAGGGTTTTGCTTTTTAAAAAACATGTATGGGTCGATATAAAATAACAATGCGTACAATATTAGGTTTTTAGCCTTTTTTCATCAATAATATAATGCTCATTTTTTGTGAAAACGATCAACGCGGTGCAATAACGCGATGAATTTTATTTCGGCGTCATCAAACAATGTGTATAATATATATATCATTATAATACTTATTTTTCGGTAGCAATGTTTTTCTTAATGTTCATATAGTACGTAATGTATGTTTATCGTTATGTCAGCTCGGGCATTGAACACTGACGTTAAAAAATGGCATAATTGTAATATCATTACGAACGTTTGCGTTTAAGTACATATGCGTACATGAGCATAATATCGTGTAGTTTATAGTTGTTTTATTTAAGGCGCAGAGCACAATCAACAATAAAATCGACTTAATAAACTAGCAATTATGTTTTTTTACGTAATTTTTATTTATAATTATAAGGTACGATTATCATCTATAAAGACACGGCTTTATATTTCAGATTATAATTGTATAACTTTTTCATTCACGTAATCATTGTGATCGTCTGAAATCGAACGGTACATTCGATATTGCCACGTAGCGCATGCTTCATCATCGTGACATCGCATATAGTATCAACTCATATAATTTTTTTCTGATTTATTGCCACTTGACGAGTAAGTGTAGGTGCACTTGCATAATAGAATCTTGCATTAAAATTTTATTATCTAATTAACAATCATTTAAAAAATGTAAATATATTTTTTGACTGCGGCGTTCAAGCACCCCCGCTCTTTTTCTGCATGCTCGTGTGTCGGATGCATCCGGAGAGCAATTTTTTTTCAAATTTAACATTATTAAAATGTGGCAATTGTATTCCAATAGTGCATGCTTGACTCATTGAAATATTGATAGAAAATTTTACGCGCTGCAACAAAGCTGATGTATCTTAAAAATGTTTTTTTTATTTTATAGGAACTTTGAACGTTCCATCAATATGCTATAAGGCTTAAGCATGTCAACCACTACAAATGGAAAAGTAAAACTTGACTATATACTATTTTAAAGGTGCATAGAATCTTTCGAGATTATTTAAGTTAAATGACTTTCCGGCTTATTTAAATAAATATAAAAATTTATTTTCAGGATGATACAAATTGTAAACAGAAAATTAACCTTATCTTTAAGCTTAACGATTTTAAACTTACTTGTGTAATCCGATTGTAAAATACGTATTCTCTGAGTATTAACAGACTCATGTTGATGAATCCATAATCTAAGCTCAACAGTCTTTCCCATTCCATTGATGACAAAATCAATAAGATATTGCATCAATAATTTAATTTGATGTACAAATTAATATCTTATTATCCACCAACCATTTACAGATTTTTTAAATTAAGTTTTTAAAATTTTGATTAACAATATAAGGGAGCTCATTTTTTGTCAAATTTTGTTGTCAAAATTTATGATTGTGAACATTTAAATGTTCATATAAACAATTTTTATTTTCATATACTTGTTTCAAAAATGGGAAGGGAATTATGAAGATCACGGACTATTTTTAATTCTCGATAAAATTCAAAAGAAATGATGTAAAGATCTATAGCTTAAATAATCTTCAAAATTAATAAATTTAAAAATATTAAGTATTGGGGAGTATACCGTACCGCAATACCTCTAAGCATTCAATGTTCATTTACATAAGAATTTGAGAAATAGAGTATGGCTGATTTTACCCTTTTCCTCTAGTTCTTATGGAACGCTCTTATTGAATACTGCCCGAAACGCTGGGGTATCGTATACTTCGCAATTCAATTTGGATTTAAATATTTTGCTCCTTATGGTTGACTTAATTAAGCCCATCACATACGTACAGCCATTTATAAAGAACTTGCATTTGGCTAAAAACGTTCCTCTTCACTTGCTTCGTACACAGCATTAATAATATTACAAACTTTTAATAATATCATGTATATTTATTCATAGATGTATATAACGTAGCTTACGAGCTTTCGTTCGTTTCGCTTAATACTTAAATAACTATTACATATAATAAGTCGCGATTATTTATTGATTGTTGATAATTATCACAGAAAGTTCATAAATTAATGACCGTGAAGTTTATATCGTTACAATATCATCATTTTTTATTCATTCGTGACCGTCGATTTTTTATTTATTACTTCAGCTTTAAAATTCAACAGTGTGTATACAACTGTTAAATCTAATTTTTATCTTATTATTGTTATTTTTATTTCTATTATTTTTTATTACTAAGGGTGATGCAAACTGGTGAAAAAATGTAAATATATTTCATGTTCATTACCAGCTAAAAGCTTTAACAACGTGCGTTAAAAATATAAATTTTTTCGAAACTTACTTTTTTTTATTGAAAGCTCATATATTGGCAATTTTCAAAACATTTTTTTTGGAAATTTTTAGTGAGATTTTAGTTAATCCATGTTTTAGTTATGCACCAAAAATAGTAAGAAGAAAAAATTTTTCCATAAATTTTTAGGTTGCACAAATTTGCAAGCTGCTGTAATGTTTTTATTAGTTAAGCGATTGAAAAGTTTGAGTATTTTTATGAATTAGATTTTAAAAAAGGTATCACACCTCAAATGACGATAATCATTTTTTTGCGAGCATTTTAGGCATAATATTTCAAAAACCAACGATGTGCACTTTATTTACGTTTCAAGCCCATTAAAATTTTGTCTATAAAAACGTGTGTACACAATAAAATATAGGTGAATAGTACAATCTTTGACAGCTTCAAATTTTTGAAGCCTCACAGTAAACGCATACTTGTTAAATTAAATTAGAGTATTATTAATCACTACATGGAAGTCAAATGTCAAAAATTACGAAGGCGTGCCTTTTCCGAAACACCTTGATTATTTTTTTATTTTTAAATTTGTTATTGCTATGAGATAGATTGAGCTTTTATCGTATACGTTTTCGCGCTATATATTTGAAATTGACCGATAATGATTGCAACGGTTCGTACATTTTTACTGATTTAGATCGGATTACAATATGGAACATTATAGTATAAATATAAATATGTCATATTTACGATTAAATTAGGCGAATAGTGAGTTATCTGTCCGATTCATCACGGTACATTTGTAAACACTCGTATAATATCGCAGATATATAGCGCCAACCGTAACCCGTTAATGATATCGCTTGATTGATTTGGATATTTAGCAACAGTGAGTACAGAAAATGGATCAGCAATTCGCAACGTGTATTTGCCGAATATCTTCAAAGGATTAGAATGAACGAGTGAGTGGACGGAAAATTTTTAATTTTTTTTTCTCTTTTTGCTTCAGCGTTGGGTATTAAAATGTTAGCTTGTCCATCGCTTTTTTGTTAATATATATAATAAAGGAATGTACGAAGGTTGAGTAGCGAATTTTTATAATATCACATACACCGCATTGACATAATCGTAAAAAATTCTCGCTCGAGCTGGAGTGTAACAAAAGTTTAAATTAAAAACTACGCGTACAGCGAGACTATGAAATTTTTGCATTATCTTAAAATGGGGCAAGCATATACGACTGTTCTGTGGGGTATGTGTAAGTATGTATATACATATATTATGCACCACTCGGCGCTCCTCTCGCCAGCTCGGTAGAATATAGTATAATATATGAAGATAAATAAGGGCTTTTCTGGTGGCTCATTTTAAATTTGATGTGGTGAACTTTTTTTCATTATTCTAGAATATGATTGTAAGAGCAATGTCAAATATTCTTTACGAGAAAAAATAATGATCTGATAACGTCACGATTGAAACGAGAATGAGAGAAAAATCTCGAATTGTGTAATGATTTTCATATGGTGGACAGAGGCTCATTCGAAAGAAGGAGCTACGGTTTTATGTTTCGCGAGCATCGTGTACTACCCCCTCCCCATTGTCCCTGATGCACTTCAATCGATATGTGTGTACGTACGCGTACATGAGAAGACTGAGCCAAGCTGCAGTTTTCCGAAACGTTAATAAAGAGAGCGAGATTATAAGGAGTTTAAAGTATTGTAGGCCAGTCAAATTACTCAAAAATGCTAGACTTTTGTAAAAATCAAAAAATCCACTTTGACTGGACTACAGATATTCATATACGCGGAGAGTTTAAGCTTCCTGATTTGATGACACTGGTGGACCACCTAATGATAGAGCTTGAACTATACGAGGATCGGCTTTGCTTCCCTCTCGAAACTCCTCCAGAGTTAACTTGTCATCGTGATTCTTGTCCATTTGATCGAAGATTTTGTCAACTCTCTTTTGAGGCGTATTTTCATCTTCGGCGTGCGGAGCTTGACCCTGAAACAGCAGAACATTTTGACAAATCAATCGATTACAATATTCAATAGTAATTTAAAATGCACAATCAGATACGTACGACCATTTGATATATGGCATCGACGATATTGTACATTTCATCTCTCGTGATGAATCCGTCGTTGTCGACATCGTAAAGCCGGAATGCCCCTAAAATTGTAAGAGCATCATTAAAAGTAATCACTGGCAATGGAACTTGCCCACATAGCATTTTATAGAAATCTTACAATGCAACTTTTCATCGAGATTTCCCCTTGACGTCACTGACAATGCCCTGATAAATTCTTCGAACTCAATTGTACCATCCTGATCATAAAAAAGTTTTTATTGTAATTGAACACAAAGATGTCAAAAGGGCGATAAATGTACTAAAATGTTACGAGACATAACAATATTAAAATAATTACATACATTTTGTTCTAATATAATTTTATATTATGTTCAAATAATGATTTTCATTTCAGATGAAAATGAAGCATAATTCGTAATGAGAATAACAAATACTCACGTTGTTTTCATCAAAAACTCGAAACACTAGAGAAGCAAATTTCGAGGGATCGCCATTAGGAAAGAATTGCTTGTAAATTTTAATGAATCCCTGTATAATACACATTAATTAAATTAATATTCTGGTCGTTACCTCAGGGTAGGTTTTTTTTATTATTTTTCGTTTACCTGCTCCGTGAGTAATCCATCCGGGCAGTCTTTCAAGAAACCCTTGTGCCTGTGGAACATAGATTATATCCTTTACATTCATCCGTGCTTAAATTACTAGCAGTAACTTTCAATGCACGTAAATCTCATACAAATTTACTTGATTAGAGATTAAAAGCGTTAAGGAATTTTTAAAAAAAGTAAAACATTAAAAAAAGTACACCAACAAAAAAACTTTACCCAATTTTCAATTAAATCCGGGTTTAAAGATAAAATTTATAAGTTTAATATAACGACAAGGTTTTTTCAAAGTCCATTAAAATTTCAACGATTAACCTTGACCCTTATGAAGGGGAGTTTCAGAAATGGTTTTAATATGTGAGATCGTGTCAATTAATACTTTTAAAGATAGGGAAGAATATTTTCATTAATTGTGCCTAGTACGCAATTGTAATTATCGTATAGATAAAAAAAAGGGCAATTCACAAAATGATAACTTACCACTGACGAATTTCTTTTTCGGTAACTGTAACAAAAGTAATAAAAATAAATTAATAGTAGTAAGACAACAGTAGTAAAACTCTTCAGTTTTTTATCAAAGTAAATCATATAAATATCAACACTATATGTCACCCGCATACAAATATATAGAAGTCACGGGCGCAGACAAACGTGGACTAGGAAACATTATGAAGTCATATGTAGGTGAAGGCTATACGTTTGCTCGGGTATTCAAACACAGCAATGCATCTCCGTTGAAAAAAAATTTGCTTCAGAGGGAGCGAGAAAAAATCTTGTGTGCGTATGCGCGATGTGTGGCACTAAAAGAGCTCGCTCGAGAGGGACAGAGAGATAAAGTAAGCTTTCGCGGCTGCTGTTTGCCGTGAGATTTATTCTATGAGCTTTTATTCTGTCTCGCTCTAAGGACAATGCCTTGCGATTTTAACTAGCTTTGCGAATGTGTGTGGGTATGTATGTGTGTGTGTATGTGTGCAGCAATCTGAAAACCAAGCTCTTTTTTATTTCCTTTTTTTTTCATCGTCAATTACTTAGTGGTCCGGAAGATATATAGTATCGCATAAAATTACTCGTCAGCACTATGTGCGCGCACACATGTACGTTTTCCAGTCGTTTTTCAGACTTATTTTACTGACAAAATGATAGTTATCGTGAGAAAAAAACGACTTCTTCCTTTGTTAATTATTTTTTTTTACTGTACAAAATCAGCGTCTTAATTCAAGGAGACAGAGCTTTTTCAGTATTTTTCATGTGCACTATTCTTATAGAATTTCATACATAGCAAATTTTATCTAACTTAATGCTTAAATTTAATCTGGTACCTTGAAAATTAATAAAATAAGTTTTTTGATAAATGTTTATTTAGAGGGAATTCAAAAAATCATGTGCATTAAATCTATGAACAGTACTCGATTAAATTTTCTACGCTACACCGAGATTGCATGTATTGATTGGTAAAGTGATAGTAAGGGTACAGTTTCCCGCGGATACTAAAGTTCAAGAATATATTCATGTTCAAAATTATCGAATTTGATATTATAGTTTCGAAGTAATCCTCATACTTTATGCGCATAGAATATGTACAAGTAGATAAATGTCTCGCCGGAAACATAAGCGATAGGCACAGCTCGGAGGGTACTCGTCTGTTTTATGCTCAAATTATAGTTCAAGCAAGCTTGTGCAGGTGTCACTAGTCTTGATTTTTCCGCTGATGATGTTAGGAGAGCGCTACAGTGATAGGGGAGGAAGCAGGTGATTTAAACTCGAGCCGAAGAAACAACTGCAGATACAACTAAAGTTGCCGGTAAAAACAAGCTTTATTAAGTCAGGGTACTTCCGTAAGCTAATAAAAGCGAGTGGCTACGCTAGAGACTTGCAGTCGTTTGTTTGCTTATTTATTTTGCTTAATAATACTGGAGCCGTACGTGATGTATTAGTCGCTAATCTAGCCAATGGCTAAACTCAGTTTATGTGAATTGTCAGGAGACATATTTTATGTACTGACATGAAGCTTTAGCTGTAGTTAATTGAATTATTCACGTAATCCAATAATACGATTAAGAAAACGGATAAGCGATCCAAAGGCACTACAAAAGTTTTTCCTAAGAAATTTGATAGATATTTGTTATTGGTTAATCCAAAAAAGTTACCTTTACGGTTTTTATATGTTTTTTTTTCTCTGCGCGTCCAATTTATTACGGTTGCAACTAAAAAAAAAAATTCTAAAAATTTGACTGATATGAATACTTGGACCATTGTACAATAAATACTACTTCTCTGGATACGCGATCTAAATAAACATTTTGGAAGTAGTCGATATTCACCTCATTTCAGTTTGTGTATAACTTACATACTTATCCATTTGAATAAGTAACGTTTAAAAAAATTTGATTAGATTTTTTTTGAGATAAGATTACTTATTAATCGTTATATTTTTAAAACAATTAGAAATGAAATTGATTCTTTGGTTTTACAAATATCTTAATTATCTGTTGCTAACTTCTTTATCGAAAATAATGTAGGCAATATTTTATATAATTCAGAAACTATATCGATTTTATCTCGGATTCCGCAGATTTGATTTTATTTTTACTGACGAAAATCTCAATACTATCGAAAATTAATATGCGGTGCAATATTATCGACTGTTTGAATTTTATAATTATCGTAGATATTTATTTCGCTATTGAAAATAATGTAAATAATATTCTATAGAATTCACGAACTATATAGGTTTTATCTCGAATTCCATTGATTTTATTTTATTTTCATTGACTAAAATTTCAATACTCACTATCGAAAATAAATATGTGGTGCAATAGTAATTTAATACGATCTCTTCAAAGTTAAGCTGTATTATTTTTATTGTAAAATTTTCATTGAATTCATTGCAATTTTTTTAAAGCATTGACTCGCTCGACAACGTGCTAGAAGAATCGATTTATAACGTTTCTATTATAAATTTACAAAGCTTAAAAAAAATTATTTTCTCTTGTAGATTCATGAAAAATTTCCGAGAAATTCGCATATGCTCTTTGATTGATTAAAAAATTTTCTGTTACTTATATATTTCGACATGAATGGATAAATGCCAAGTAATAAAATGAATAATTTGAACGCAAAATCAGTCATAGTTAAAATCGTAAGAAATTTGAAGTTGAATCCATTAGTGAATGTATTATTCAGAAAAAATTAAATGACTGAAAAATCGGGCTGTTTAAAAAAATTAAAAGAAAAAGCCAACTTTAAAATTGTCTTTAAATTTTTTGTGAAATTCTATAAATTTGCAAACTAGCGATAATTTGTCTGACAGTCAAATTTATTTTTATCAAAACGACAGGTTGTCTCATTTATCTGACTTAAATCAGCTGAAATTAGATATACTTTCACTTGTAAAACATTTTCAGTTTCTTGCTAAAAAATAAACTGGAGACGATCGTCTTGCAACGACTAAATGAATGATCGTTGTTGTGACAGGAATACCCGTGGAAATTTGAATTTTGCACGATGTTCCCCATACAAAGTAGGTTGCTAACATGAAAATCGAAGCTTCGAAAAATTGTTTTTACACAGTTTTTCGTTTTGCACGCGTATAGTATATGGCCCGCGTGCAAAGATATTCCAGTCACGTGATTGCAATCTCGATCACCTTTTTGGAGCAGCAGCCGAGCAGCTCTAGCTATAAGCTTTTCAAGTCTTGGCCGGCAGCCAACAATGTTCATTTGTTTTCCTTCATAAATCACATCGACAGACGCACACACACACACGCACACACACAAATACATAAGTGCATGGCTCTACATTGTATATATAATGTATTTGGCCATGTACGCATACGTGGATTATATACATAGGTATAGGGGCGCGCGTGTTTATGTGGGCGATTTTTAAAATGGGATAAAATCTTCATTCGCTCGGGGGGAAAAAATTGATAGCCGCAGATACGATAATCATAATACGAGAGCTCACTCCGATAATATCGATTCAAAAGAGCTTTAGGTGGGAAAAAAGCTCGAGAAATCATAAATCATCGGCTTAGTCTCGTACTCTATTGCTCGACTTGTTTTTCCGTTTTTTTTTATTTCGGTATGATACAAAGCCCCCGAGGAATCCATTCCCGATTGGCGTCGTGCTTAATTGATCGAGCAATTAAGGCGTATAGCGGAGCAGCGATCGCTCCGGCGCAAATTACCAACGCTCTTGAGTCTTTGTATTATAATGCGCGCTGTTGTACGTACGCGATATATCTGCAATACTGTGCTGTGTATACCGCGCGAATACACATGCACATACACGCCTGCAAGCTTACACACACACACACATACACACACACGCATACCTTCACACAAAAGCGCAACAGCTGAACGATGTCTACCGCGAAACGTTACAGCGTGCTTTATAGGCAATATGATATTCATAGGTAAAATAAAGAGCTGCAGGAGCAGTTATTTTCGGCTTGTAATTCGTGGATCTTTTTACGGCATTCAAAAAAGTGCAATAAAAGTTAATCGCAGGGGTATGAACAAAAGAAAAGACGAGTGGCTCTCTCCCTCCCTCTCTCTTTCTCCTTCATTCTTTCCTCTCTGCCTTCGTAATTTTCACCTCGGGGGATTATACTCGCTATATCTTTTTACTTTTCGGTATTAATCTCTGGATTGCGGAGTTGAGTATTTTCTTTATCGTTAGCCACGATATTTACGTTATGCATACGAGTGCATCGGGATAGGAGCGTCTGACCGATGCCACGTTCATTCCACTCGCAGACTTTTTTTAACCCTCGGGTGAGCTTTTAAAACAGCGATAATGTATCGATTGATACATAGTCGAGTATTTTGTATACAAGGCTTATGTATGCGTAAACACGTATAGAATGAAAAACGAGCCGATATAGCGTTCCACTTTTCTTTATAATATGCAAGTATGCACGTACACACGGACGGCGGAGCTCGACGCGTATACTCACATACATTTATACATTCATGCATACATACGCACACGGCAGTCCGACGAAGAGATATAGACAAAAGGAAGGTCTAGTCGGCGGAGTCTGAATTATTTATTAGCAATCGGACAGGCGGCGACGACAATTTTTTCATGCTCCGCTGCTGCTATATATACGCGTGCAAAGAGTGAGAACTCGAACGAAAATAACCCATCTGTATTTGCGACGTGTATAATATGTGTGTGCGACAGCAGCAGAGCTCGCAAATTGGAGCGTGATGAGATGTATAGTGTATTTTGCCCACGTTTATATGTACGTATATACAACACGACACGTATAATACACACACACACGCCTCGACTTCTCATCATCATCCGCGTCTTTTAGGCGAAATGATCAACGATCCGTACCGATGTTAATCACGATACTCGCATGCATACACGAAGCGCGCCTCTATTATACACGTATACACGTATACGTGTCTCGCTATACGTGCTTTGAGCAGCTCACGTATCGGAGAACGAGCGAACGAGAGAGCTTGCAAGCTCTCTTTCATCGACTGCCTTAGACTTATGGTATGCGATCGATTTTCATAATCGTCTACGTGTACTTACATGCAAGCTAGAACTGCGATTTTGCGATCTTTTTCTTTTTGTCTTCAGGACTGCACTGCGAGTGCCTCGCAATAAGTGCATTCTTTTCTTTGAAGGCGCATAAAAGTGAGGTATTTCGCATTTTTCGCGTATAAAATAAAATCGTTTATTGCACGTTGTAAAGAAAAGTAATTAAAAAAACAAAGTTGATACGCTATTACGCGAAGGAATCGAAAGCCGAGCGCTCGAAGCTTTTTACTCGTTTAATCGGAGCTTACGAGCTATAAACAACAAATAGAGCTCGAGCTGTATATAAGGGAGCGCTTATCGTACGTGTCGACGAATTATTCAATCCGTCCTGAATTTTTTATCGTATCGACAGGTCCCGTTAAACGTATAATATATAAAATACACAAGCCATCCACACGCGCGCTTATACCGAGGTAAAAAAGAAACAACAAAAAAAAAAAGGAAAAGTTGCCACAGCTGCACACGCAGTTGCACACTCACTCATTCGGTCGCTTGGCATCATACGCTAGCACACAAGCTCGCGCGCGCGCCCGCTCATGCAAACCTTTTATAGTATACATATAATAACAACGAAAGCCTTTAGCCAGAGTAAAGTAGGGTGGGTGACACTTACAATAGGTGGCGGTAGTCAGTCGGTCGATGGTGTCTTGCTTGAGCTTACTGTTTTTTTTGCCCATGTTTGCGACCGCCGTGCGCCAGCCTGACTTTCTCTCTCACTCTCTCTCACTCTATTCTTGTAACAACAGCGATATCTCGATGATGTGCCAAGAGAGACGAGCTGTGGCGATCGGCAAAGCGTTAATTTCTTCGCCTTTTCGCTTCTTCTTCTTCTCTTTGTTCTCTTTCAAAGCTATTCGCACCGTCGACGTAGTCGACTTCGACGTCGTCGTCGTCGTCGTTGTCGTCGTCTTTACGCACTTTTACTTTCTTTCTTTCTTATACTTTTTATTTCCTTTTATTTTTACGACGCTCGTCGTCTCGCGATCACAAATAATCGCCCGGACGATCGCAATTATGCATTCTCACAGTGGAAAATCACGCGCGAGCGAAAAGTTGAATGCACTTTGTGTGTTTCCGAGGAACAGGCGTCGATAGCGCGTGTATTATTCAGTATCGGCCAGCCATAGGCACGTGCTTATATGCGCCTATGCAGATATAGCACATTTAACCGTGTCCAGAAACTCTGTAATAAAAAAAGTACAAAGGAATAAAATATCATTGTATGAATACTTGAAAAATTGGCGTGTAAACGCAATAAACTAGAAGCAACGACGCTTATATCTATGCACGAATGGTAAAAAAAATAAATCAGAATAAAATAACGGAGCAAAGAGAAATAAAAGAGTCGGCGATCAAATGAATCGAATAATGAGTCGCGAACGAGCGAGCGAGCGGAGGATAGACGTCTCTGCAGTGAAGCGTGCATATAGGTATAGCATTTGTGTATATGTGCGGAGCAAGTCAAGAGTGCAGAGATGTGCATCTCTCTGCTTTTGTCTCATTCTGCAGGCACTAGTTGTAAAACCACGAATCGCTTTCTGAGCACTGCCGCGACCACTCACTTATCATCGAAGCGTAATGTTGAGCTTGCACGAGTGTGCAAGTGCTCACGCCGTCGCGAGCTTCAATGTCGAATAAAAGAAAAACAAGGTAAAAACATGCTTGTTTTTTTTTCTCTTTTTCGTCAAGTCGTAGAAAAGTACGTGTGTATGAAAAAAAGCTCAGACTCACCAACAGCAGGTAGAGGTGCACGAGGATCAGTGAAAAACAAGCGAGTAATCTCTTTGGTAAAAAGTAGAAGAGCAACAACAACAACAACGATAACAGCGACTACGGCAACAACTACAACAACAACAAGGTCATCGGCAACGGCCACGATTGTCATAAAAAAAGCCAGAGTTGCGGCAACGTCGACGTCGAGGAGCAGCGCGAGAACAACAACGGAAACAACAACAACAAGAGCGAGGAGGCTCGAGAAAATCGCTCGCGAAAACTCTTATTGGTACTACTGGTGGCTAGCGTGAGCTGACTGCTGCGCGGGCTGCGGCTTGACGTCATAGCGTCGCGGCGCTGGGCGTCGGACTGGCGCTCGCCACGACAGCTCTCGTCGCGCGCGGCTATAGAAGCTCTCGATACGCATAGGATATATAGCGAATTTTGCTGCAAACCCTCCGAAAGCATGCGCAGCTCCTCCGCTGCTTCTGCTGCTGCTGCTGCTACTGCTACTGCTACACTACTACATACTATACTACTACTTCTGCCACTGCTGCTGCTGCTGCTGATCACTTTTCAGCTGAAAAATGCGTTAAACGCCACTGGCACACTGGAGAATTTGCTTTGTGCTGGCTCGGCAAATTGATCAAATAGAGAGAGAGGAAGAGAAAAACATCGCTCGAGGGGGAGCGAGCTTTTAATCGTTTCACTGAAACGATAATTCCATAATTAAAAGCGAAACGCGCGTGACTTTGGGGGGTACGCAATAAAACGAGCGTGAGAACTAAACGCACACACGCGAGCATATATAGTAGTTAGAGTCCGTGGTATGTTCAGCCACGCTCCGTGTCGTCTGCGTGTCCTATATGTATCCGCCGCGTATATAGACATGTATAGGTACACATGCACGTAATACGTACGCGCCGAGCAAGTACAAGTGCCAAGTGCCGTGGCTAGGAGGGTGGCTGACATGCAAATTCTCACTTGACGCTCGCTCGTGTGTTGTACACACCTAACGTATAACGTACACACATAGTAAGAGAGTACTGCGGTGCAGCAGCAGCAAGCTCTACTCGTTTGTGAAGATCTCGTTGCGGAGAGCCTCCCCCCGCGCACACCTCGCGACTGCCATGCACCGCATGCATATAGCTGCTATGTATTATATCAACGTATGAAGTAAGTGTACATCTCGTTAGCTCGAGAATCTCTTTGTTGGAGCTGTAGACGAGGCGCTACGAGTACAGTACTGCTCTGTGCAGCCCTTCCGCCGTGTTAGCTTAGAAATCTGCGTGTAAGTTTGCTGAGAAATTCGAGACGCAATGTACCCACCGACTAATTTCTATTTGTCGAAATTCCGAAGCTAACCGAGGGGGCAAGATTTAGCCCGCATCGACGCGGAGCTTTCAAGACGTTTACCAAGACGAGCTAGAACTTACGCAAGCTGCACTTGGGCAAAGGGTGAAAAACACGAGAGGCTACGAGCAAAGGTAGCTTTGTCGAGGCTGCACGTATCTAGCGGAACCAATGGGGCTTGAAGCAAACGGAACATAGAGAGAGAGAGTGAGAGCAATGTAAGTTGCTGCACTACCTTTGGCTATATTACAGGGTATACACGTACGCGCGTACATAACGAGCTTTCATTAGGTTAAAATGTCTGCAGTTGGCATCGCGATCTGCAGGCGCGAGAGCACACAGGGACAGTATTACAGTTTTCTTCTCTCGTTAAAACTGCACAATTCGAGTTTGCAGCGTGCAGCCCCGGCCCGCTGCACCCTGCATATATACATAGGCCATTTAATGCAATTTCGTGTAAAGTTTCGGAGCAGCGGCGACGGCGGTGCAAAGGCGCGCGTATCTCGAGCGCGCGAGAGCCAGTAACAAACTGCAAAACTAACGTAGCAAGACGCGCACATACCTAGTAGGTAACTCGCAGGCCCCGGCCTGGCCTATTGTAGCGACGAGCAAGTACGCACCGGAATTCACCAAAAGTGAGAGAGAGAGACTCGTTGTATGATTTATCATAATTACGCAATATATAAAGTTCATCGTGTTGCCGCTCGCAGTTTCGCCCGAGTTTCTATTTATACAATGATAAACTGCTGATTAATACAAATGCTGGCCCTGCGAGTCGTTATCGTAAAATTTAACGAGCTCATTCGATCGACGAGGCAGAGCCTCCCTCGAGCCCTTTTTTCCGCAGCGACCCTCCAAAAGGCGCCTTAAAAAATGAAAATGTCCTTTTCTCGCGCGCGAGCGGAATCTCGAGCACGACGCTCTCTTTCTCCTCCACGCCCGAAGATAATTATGTTTTCATAACAAAATGCAAGAGAACTGGGTCAAGTTTTGCATTTAGGAAAGAAAAGCGCGCGGCTTGTATTCCGATCGCGTACGTGCAGGTGGGAAAGAAGAGATCAACTGCTGTGGCTGCTGGGCTTTTACAATTTACGACTTCATTTTGGAGAAGCAAGAGGCAGCAGCGAGGGACGCGGAGCACGACCAAGTGAAACTTCAAACGATTTATACTTTGGCTCGTCTATACATCTATATACAATAGAGGTGGCGCGTGTTTTTATGTATGTGATAGGACGGCATGCGAGCGAGCGAGCCGCGCACTCCGGACTGTATACACGCCACACACATGTGACGCTCGAGGCTATATAACGTTTTTTCTGTGTATCACAGCAAGCGGTATATATATATATCATAGAAATACAGTGACTGTACGCCACGTGCGCAAGCTCACACACACACACACACACGAAAGCTTGTTTGGTTTTACCCAAGGTTTTTTCTTTTTATTGTTTGCAAAAGGGATATAGCGGTTTTTGGCAGCGCGAGGGTAATCTACTTTATTACGCTTCGAGGGCTGCCTCGGCAAAAGCTCGCGATCGCGCGCGCCATGCCGTGCCATGTAAATGTGCAATGCTCAAATGCTGCCGTTGCGCCAGGCTATATGTACTACCTATATTGCCGCAACTTTTTCTATATATACACTGTACATACATCGCATCGCATATATGTACGCGAATGGGCAATCGCTCAACGTCGACTATTTGATTACATCTTCCCTCTCTCTACCACCCGCGCGCACTTTTGCACTCGGCCCTTCTTTGACATTTCTCTCCAGCTGCAGCTGCAACTCGGCCGTCAAATGTAAATATATAGAGAGTCGCTTTCTCTCTTCCATATACATACAAAGCTTACAGTGCGTGGCCCAACATTTTTATTCTCCCCGAGCCCGGGCGCTTTTCTTTCTTTACGGCGAAAAAAGAGCGCAAATAATTATTTTGCGCGCTCGCATTCAAAGATCTTTGAGACTAAAAACTAAATAGAAAATTTACTTTATGTAGGTGGAGGCTTTAAGGAAAGGCGGCAGAAAAGGCAAAAGCGACGAGTGCACTTTATTCATATAATACTAGGTAGGTCGTCGTCGTCGTCGTCGCTCGCTCACTCGCTCGTTCGTTCGTTCGCCAGCTCGCTCGTTGGCCAAAGTTTCGAGCTCAAGTCTGTTGGACTCTATGACAACTCTTGAGCGTTCGTACAAGAGTGTCACGAAAATCCCTCGAGAAGAGACAGTTGATATAGAACGACAGGGCGTAATTCGCCACCTCGAGTAGATTTGCAGTTGCTCGGAATACCTGAAAATATCATAGGAAGACAAAAAATCATTTCGATTGCTTGGCTCGGTATATTCGATTTACACGTTCGTAGCGTACTTGTTGCTGCGACGTAATATCCGTTTTCATACCAGCGGACCGAAAGTAGCATTTCCCAATCGCTATGCTAAACGGGAAATTGCTATTTTCGAATGAAAAATAACATACTGCACTAGACCAGAAAAAAATAAAACCCCAGGGCGCGTATTTATCAGCCTCGGATTCGCCTCGGCCACTAATCGCACGTGCGCTAGGGAATTTTTCTTTTTTTCCCGGCCTGGATTAGTAAAATACCATTACCTGATAGGGAAAGCAGAGCAGATTGTGTTTGTTCAATGTGACCTGCAAAATGGCCATCGGACTGACGCAAACGAGAAACAGGAGGCTCGTCGTGCCGAGAAACAATCCTAGTCGTCGATTCTCGGCGCTCTTGGCTCCGCGAATAGTCAGCTTGAGACGTCGCTCGTAAGCTCGCTTGTAAACCATGAATATGCGCAAGTTCATGCTCACTATGAGCACAGTGGGAGCGAGCTTGTAGGCGATTTCCAGAACTACTCTGTACAGCTGAAAGTAATTCAACTGCCTGGAGGAGAGATTATCGTTTTTCCAGTAGTACAAGGTAGCAGCGGCGTAGGCATCGGCGTCGTTCGTGGAGTAACAGGAGTCGACGCGGGCTCTAAAGACCAGCGGCAGGTGGAGAATTAGCGTAGCCAGGGGTAGGCATGCGAGCAACAGCCTCGAGGAAACGGGACGCGTCAGCGGCGAGGCATTTTTATTGCAGCGTCTCGTGCTTGCAGCCGCGCCGGCCTGGGGTGGCTCGCAGCAGAGTCTCGCGTGCCTCTCGACTGTTAGCGCGGACAACATGCTCACGGCAATTCCTGCAAATAAAACATACAGAAAAAAAAGCGACGACAATGTCTGTGTGCGCGTGTGTATATCTTCATTCGGCTGAAAAGCGGGATAATTTTAATCAATTCGCTTAGAAAAATTGCCGCGAAGCGCGCGAGCTTTGAAAAAGCTGCAATGCGCAGAGCGCGCGCGACGAGTAAGCGATAAAAAAGCAACAGCAACGGCAAAAAAAAATTTATATTTATTTTATTTCGAGCCTTCGTTAACAATGCATCGTTAGCCTCTTTTCAGCATCGATATATATATAAAACTCGCGAGCGAGCGCTGCATTCGGGGAATGTCTCTCGAAGAATGCACTGCTGCACTCCAAGTGCAGCAAGTAAAAAAAAAAAAAAAGATGAATAAAATAAATGTTATACGTACCGAGACAGCTGTTGCCCAGGTAAAGCTCAAGATGGGCGTGATAAAAAGCTCGAGGCCAGCTGGTCCAGTAGCCGTTCTCGTCTTGGCTGCCGAGTATACGCGAAACAAATGGAATGCAGAACAACAGTGCGAGAAGTGAAGCCAACGAGTATCCTGTTGTTATTTTTTGGTTTTTTGTTTTTATAATTTCATCAAATCGATTTTTTCATTTGATTCAAAACATTTTGCAAGTTTTGTCGTTTAATCTAGTGGCACGGCGTTATAGCCGTGTGTGTTGTGTGCCACGCGAGGTGTATTGTATACTCGGCAGATACTTTGGCCTCTATTCGTGTTGTTTTTGCTCTCTCTCTGTATTTTATAACGCGAAAGGAAAATGTACGTATGAGTGCGCCGCACTCGATATTGCAAAGCGCACGAAATTGCATCGAATCAGTTTTGAACCAGCTGCCGATGAGATTGCCTTCACTTCTCTCTCTCTCTCTCTCTTCGTTTATATACACACATGCCCCCTCCCTCCCATGCCCGCGAGCTTTATTTTTTCTATTCGATGCTCAAAATTTCGCTGCAGCACGTGTATTATTACTTTTTTGGGAAAAGTATACGCACGCGCGCCCGTTGTTATTTTGTTGCCTGAAACGGAATAAAACATATAACGCTGAGAGGCGCGAGCGAGCGAGAAGCGATTCCCATCGGCGCGTAAATTTGTTTAAAATTCAACGTCGGTGCGAGACTTTCTCTCTCTCAGGAGAATAAAGCCCAGAGATTTCATTTATTTATTTATTTTTTTTGCATTTAGCTGCGTTGTTCAACGCAAAGTGTGTCGAAAATATAATCGGAAAACTTGCGTGTAAGCGTCGGAAAGGAAAGAAAGAGGGAATAAAAAATGATGATCGCTGTATCTCAAGCCTGTCCGTTACATCTTTAATGCCTGAACTCTTGTCTCGTCGTCCCTCGAGCGAGAGACGTGCAGCAACTCGTATAAAGCTAATTATTTCGCGTATGCTCGCGCGTATCGCAGCCAGTAACGTTTAATCCGCGCTCGAGCTTGCGCGTCTTTAACAGTCGAGCTCTCGAGTACTTGGCACGAGAGATAGATAGGTAGAGAGTGAGGGAGAGAGCGACTTGTCGTAACATTTTCGCAATTAATTTCGAATATGAATTAAACTCGGTCCCGCGAGCACTTGGCCGTGGCACGTGTAAGTCTAGTGCTTTTGTGACTGTGCCGCGCGTTCGAGTTTAACGCGTCTATCTAGTAGCTGATGCTGCTGCGACGTGAAATATATAATCGAGCGTTAAGCCATCAAATTCGCCTCACCGGCTCGTGCGGCGTTCAGCTTTAATGCGCGATATTAAAATTTTTATTATCCTGCACGGCTTCCCGAGCGTGTATCGATAAAATAATGAGGATGAAAAACTCACCCCGCATGTAAGCGTAGGCCATGCCCTGCATATTGCGCCTCGTTAAAACCACGAGATTCAGCGAGTTGCCGACGATGCCGCACAGGCATATTATCGGCATGATCGCGCCGTAACTGATTTTGCGTAAATTATAAATTTTCAATTCCTCGCTGTCCAGGCTCTGATTGAACGGACAGGCGAGTCTCGGCAGCGCCGTGCCATTCATGCCTGCCTGCGCAACTTGGAATATTTTCCTCGATCGAAAACTCTTTACTGTCGCGGCCGATGCGAACGAAACGTAAGAGGAGTCGGATTGACTTTTTTTTCTTTCTCTCTCTGTCTCTCTACTCTCTTTCTCTGCTGCAACTCGAGGCGGCATAAGAGGGATAAGTCGCATGCGACAAATGCGGGTGCTTGAAATTGAACGATGCCTATATTGTCAAAGCGATGAGCGCATCGAGTGCATTTCGCATTCGCCGCGAGGGCAACGATCGATTTTTTCTCAATTCGAGCTAGCTTAATTGATATTCGCGTGCGTCAATTAGTGCAAATTGTTTTACTTTCATCAATTAACAAACTTCGTTACGGGCTCGTGCACCAAATTTAATCAAATGCTTGATAAAGTTATAAAATATATGTTTATTTTATAACCATTTCTTTTAACAAGCTTGTAAAGTTAAATGTAAATTATAAGGAATATAAAAAAATCAATCAACTTGATCCTATTTTCGTTTATTTTCAAAGTATAGTGTAGCACATTATTGCTCTTAATACACTTAAACTACAATCATTAAAAAATTCATACTTGTAACGTTGAATAAAAGTACTTATTATGCGAAATATAATTACTTATTTACAAAGAATACATCACAATTTACAGCATAAATGTTATTTTGGTCTTTTTTACATGCTAAAAAATTAATGCGTTTCAGAATTAGGCTTTACGATATAAATGTGTTGTACATTAATCCTATTATTATCCTTAACTTTCATTTTTATGAAAAAATATTGTTGATTATGGTACTCATTACAGTACTTTTATGACTCACAGGGTTTTTGGCAAATCATTATTACCCTCGTCGATTCAGGTATTCTTGATATTGTACATGAACCAATAGACTGTAATTCATAATCATGTTAAATTTGAAATTATACTTTGAAAAATATTGACATTACAAAAAAAAAAGTTAAGTTCAATATCACTCAGAAGGTTGATTCAGTTTCATATTCTTCAAATATAGTAAACTGATATTCATCCTTTGGAGCTACACTGAGTTAGTTTTTATAATACATTGTTAAAATATACACCAGCAATTCTACAATTCAGAGTTTGTAAAAATCACTACTTACAAAAAATGTTGTGGTGTGTAAGTAGCAGTATTTTATCATTAAGCTCACCAAAATTTCAAAACATTTTTAAAACTTAAATCAAATCTTCTCTCACAAATAATCAATGCAAACAATCACATTCATATTGAAATAGTAGAAAAAGGTTTAATCATACTCAAGAGATGATTCCCTTTTGCTAATTAGATTGTCTCTTTCTTCTTCAGTCGATGGTACTTCTGATATCAAAGGTCTATTTTTCACTACTTTTACTTTGCTGAGACCTTCAGTTAGTCCACTACCACCTGACACACTGGAAAATAAACTGAGATAGATTTATTACATTTTTTTCTAAACATCTACTCCCGATTGATAAAAATAAGTTTAATAGCTTACACGACATCGTTTTCATCGTCATCGTCGCCTTGAGCCAGTTCTTCGGGTGATAGAGTGAAATAAGGATTAGCGGATGCTGGTCTGAATTTGTAACCGGTTAACACGAAAAATACATATGTAGCCATTTCTCTAAACATTTCATCCAACCATTTGTATTGAAATGGCACAGTTATCTATTTGAAAAAATCAATGTTTCATTAATTAACATCAATGCACGTGCAATGTAATGTTGCATTAATTAACTCTATATATTTAATGAGGACAACTTACTTTTAACAAGTATACTATAACTCTTGTAAAATAAATGTAGCACACAATCATGATATAAAAGTGCCTAAACAGTTTTAGTTTACGTAAATTAGCAGCAGCTTTTCCATCCATATGCGCAGCTTCCTGCAAGTGTCGGATGCTCCATACTACTGGAAACATGATTGCACCACAACATACTAAATCAACAAGAATAAACACATCACGCCACCTCTTGTGTTCAATATCACCTTCTTCGCTTTCTTCTATGATAATTTCAGCAACATTTGCCAAAACCTAATAGTAGATGATGTGTATTTAAGTATAAAATTTGATATACAGTAGATAAATGGTTTGAATATTTCTTACTTGAAGAGGTATGACAATCATAAATAATTTTTTGTCTTTATCAGCTAAGATGTGTTTGATGAACGTCCAACCAGTACCCACAAGAACAATTGTAATGAATAAAACAGCTCCTTTTAACAAATGAGTTATATAATAAAGAATAGCCCATGCTGCAACATGTTCCCCTTTAGTTTGAATGAAATGAAAATTGATTCCATGGAACAACAGAGATAATGACTTCAAATAAACAAGAACTGCCATCAAATAATGAATTTTAAAAACTGGATTTCTGTAAGAAAAAATTTTAAATTGTCAAATCAAGTTTTGAATTTCAGAGTAAACCATGATTCTAAATTCACTGATAAAATTTTTTCAGAATTTCATTTTTTACTTACTTGCTCTTTCTTAAGATGAAAAAAACCCAGAAACATCCTGATAAGAAAAATAGCAAAGCCATCATGAAATATAGTTCTGGTAAAGGCATTTCTCCAGCACTCAAGAAGTTATCTTCATTAATCTCTTTGATTTCCATCTAAAACATTAATATAGAATGATTAATATCAACAGAGAAATTTTTTCTATTGCTCATTGATTATTTTATTCAAACTTACTGAAAAATCAACGGTAACTCTGCGATTGTAATTTGGGCAATTATGGAAGTACAAATTGTATAATCCTTCCTCTTCTTCATTTGCTACGTACATAGCAAAACTAGTGTTGTATAATTTCTCACCTTGCACTTCTTTAACTGTCATTGGTAATGTTAAAACGCAAGCACTCGTTTCCTGATTATTTGTTCCTGATTTCCCAGAATTAACTGATTGAATATCTACAGAATTAAAGTTAATATTACTTTTTCTGTGAAAAAAGTCATTATACTGATCTATTTAGTTCAAACCATTCAATAATAAGCCGTTGTAATTTTGCCAATTTCTACAACTAATTTGTCAAATTTATACATCATCATTTATTCTACCAGCTAAACTAGAGTTTTATGACTTAGAACAGAGCCAAAAACTTTTAAACATGATGTAAAATAACAGTTTGTGACCAAATCATTTTTATACTTCACACAGATAAAAATTTTAAAAGTATGATTGGGAATACGTACCATGAGGTAAGGAATCTCTCTTTTTACGTGGAAATAGGGCAGTATCACTTAAAATTCCAGATTGAGCATTTTTTAAATCTTGAGCCTTTCGGATTTCAGAAGAACTTCTGTATATGTGGACAGAGTGTACATTGCTACTGCAATTCACCTTGAGTCTATAAAATAAAATGATTTTGTTTCAAAAGGAACAAAAATTCATTTCCCTCATGTAGCTAAAAGACTTACTGCAAATGTTTCAAGTCAAAAGTAAAATATATAACAGCAGTCTCATCCTTTAGATCATAATCATATTTTACAGAATAAGGGACGCCACCTTGTAGAACACACTGGTCATGACTATCCAGGTACGGGTTCAAGGCATCGCTTAAAGTCCTATCAAGACTAAAACCATACTACGAATACAAATGAAAAAAAGTTGAAAACAAAGCCAGTATACTATAAGCTAATTTCTATTATACTTACAACATCATTGTCATTGAATGGATTTGCTTTGAAATTGATCAAATTTACGTCCAAAATGCCATTTTTATAAAAGCCAAAGGTGCTAAGCGATATAAATCGACGAACATCATTCTGAAAAGAGTTGAATAATGTCATAAATCTAGAGTGATGAAAGGATAAATGGTAATATAACAAACATACTTTGATGTCAAATTTGTGGATTCGAGCAGTCGCGAAGCCGACTATCAACAAAAGATTAACCAGTACAAATTGGAGCTTCATCTTGAAAAAGAAAAAGACCAAAAGCACGGTTTACACGTGCCACCTGTATTAGCTAATGCAAGTGAGCGTGTAGTGCAATGCTAATTCTTATAAGTTGATGTCGAAATCGTTCACATCACTGGTAAGAAATTCAATATCGGCTTTTATGCTAGTTACTACGAAGCTGTATAATACTTCGCTGCTTCGTTCTTCATTTGAAATGCTTCCTACAGCATCGTTGACTCACTTGAAGAACGTCAATAAAAAAACTTCAACGGCGGGCGTATTAACTCTTGCACTTTATCAGCTGGTATCATCGACGTGTATGTGAGTCTATTCGTGCAGCACTAAAAACTACATGTATACATTGAATGAATGATTGATGTTATTATTATGAAAATAATCGTTTCGTCATTGATGCGCGGTACACGTTTGCGCCTATATACGCCGTGCGAGTCTAAAATCTCAAATATATGGTCTGAGATTTGCGAATTTCTGCAAGCCGTTGAAGCCGATAAGGAGCACCCACTTTTATCGATCGGGACAGAAAATTATGATACCAACCGATAAAGAAGAGTATCTTAAAAATTCAAGGAATATGAGTTACTAAAACCGTTGTATTGCATTGTATGCACAATTGCAAAACAAACATATCTTATTAAAATAAATTTCAAACTTTGGTAATTCATTTTTATAATTTTACAACAGTTTAATTTTTCATTTCTTTCAACTGAAGCTTTGAGCCAATAAATGACTTGCGTTAGCGGAATTTCCCGCAAACGCTATCGAATTCCATTATCGAATGGTGAGTATGTCAGCCAAATTAATTTTTAATTAGTGACTTGAGATTAATGCTACTGATATTATCAATTTTTTTTTAATTTAAAATTGTACGTTGTGACATCTCTGAGTACGGATTTAAACTTTTAAAGGTTATATTCAAGAAATATTATTCATATAGATTTTATTCCTTTTTCAGTAAAAGAAAGTAAACAGTTCCCAGTTAGATGTTATGGAGAATCGTTATCCATTTTCTGATTCAGACAATTCTGATTTCAAATTGTCTAGAGCGGCAAGCTTTTCCAATTTGACAACTTCTAGCAATAAGGTAATGCTTGAACAAAAATGTGAAACTGATAATAAGGATAGTTTAGTAAGACAGTATAGTTGTGAACAAATATATGACCACAAATCAAATTCAAGGTAATTTGGTTACATTTTATGCTGAAGAAGTACCCAAAATCAAAATATTAAATCTCATTTATCAATTTTTCAGCCATTTGAAAGTATCTGAAACTATCAAATCAGGAGATCGAAAAGAAAAGTCTACTTGGCAATCTAAACCAACAAGAATTCCTACTTTTAGAGGTTTGAATCAAGGTTTTAATCCATTTGCTGAATCTTCTAGAACACTCAAAACAGAAAGAAAAAAACCTTCATTAATAGCTCCTGCAAAGTTAGTTCTTTCTGATGACAAATCTGTACAAATAATACCAGACCCAAATTTCAGTAATGGAAATGAAGTAAGTAAGGAGATTTCAAATGAAAGTGATTTTGAATTTACAAAACCATTATTTACTCCAAAACTATCAATAAAAAATACATGGAAAAAAAGAGATGCAGCATTAAGAGAAAATTCTCTCATTAAGAGAAAAAGTTTCAATGAAATAACGTGGGATAAACATTCTAGTAGTGATATAAAAGAGGACGATAAGGTTGACACATCTGAATTAAAGAAACGGTTGAGATCACTCATTGCTGAAGAACCAAAAAAAAAGACTCGTGTGTGGCTACAAGTGTTAATCATGTTTACTGCATTTATATCATTAGTGACTTTTTATTCTTTATTTTTTCTCAACAAATCAGACAGCGCAGATGGGTTTTGTAAACCTACATTCAAATTAAGTTCTGCATCAAAAGAATTGAAAGATAGGCTTTATGGTCAAGATTTAGCCATGCGAGAATTGAATCAATATTTTGTTAACATTGAAAATCAAAGTAGTTTAAATATTGTTTCATTTGTAGGCGGTACTGGTGTTGGTAAATCATATGCCTCAGAAATTATAAAAGAGACATTAGGAGATACATTACATAATTTAAACTTTTTTTCTCCGCTGATTAAAAAAGAAAGCGAAGCATATTCATCTTTATCAGCATGTCGCTGCAATTTTATTGTACTGGAAAATTTAAAGACTGACGATGTTTTAGATGTTGTGCACTTTGCAAAAAAATTGAAAAGTGAGGCACCTAATTATTGTATTCTTGTTCTAGCAATATTTAACATTCAAGAAACTGATAATAACTTAAAAAGATCTATAGATTGGGAGAGAGCCACCTCCATGATTGAAAATTCATTTAAAAACGAAATAGATACACCATTTAAAGTAATCAAATTTAAACAATTAACTGCTGATGTTTTGAAAAAATGCATCGAAGATGCAGCTGTTTATAATAATATTGTACTTTCAATCGAGAAAATAAATTATATCACACGCGATTTGTTAAACTCTGATAGTGGATGCAAAGGAGCTAATGCTAAAGTACAATTGTTTAATGATAAAATGAAATTGGAGTTATAAGAAAAATTCAAAAATAACTGTGTAACAAACTGTGATAGTACAGAAGAGATACTTAATAATTAAAATTAAGTTTAATAGTAAGTGATGTAAAATATTATTGAGTCCTCGAGAAATGTTATAATCTACAATAGCACTAAACAAAGACGATCGGCTTCACGTAACTATAAATGAGTCTTTTTTGTACTAACATTGCATGGTTGCTAATATTCTGAAAAAGTTTATGACAACAAAAAACAGGTCTTAACCAACGTACAGTCCCAATACATTATCAATTATATTCGTGAATAAGCCCGATCTAATTAACCATCGTAAAATAAATCGATCGTGATTAAAAAATAAGGAAAACAGAGAAAAAAAAATCCATTTCGGTGATATGTAACAAAGAGAAAAAAGCCAAACCATTCGAAAATAAAGAAATAGCTATTGCAAAATTGATTGTTAGACGAAAATGCGTGTTACGCGAGTGCATAAGACACAATTGAACGCGCGCGCGCGAGCCGGCTTTATGGCATTACATATTCGATATTTATTACGGCGCTCAATGCAGTGTAGTGCATGTAGTTCATCGGTATGAATTTTCGTGCAAGTAAAGCCGACCGCAGGCGAGTACATACCGTTGAGTGAGCCATTCCGTCATCATGTAATTGTTAGGCCTAGGCTGTATTAGGCTTCCTCGATTTTTCATTTCACTTTTTCCGATTATGAGAAGGCGCTATGGCTCGCTATGCCATAATATATAATAGCTGCGGCGGGCGCGCGCGAGCGAGCGAGCGAGCGATCGCTCGTGTGCATTTTACTATTGGGCCGTGCGTCGCATGCAACGTCTTACGCGTCTTATTATGCAAAGATCAAAGCAAATAACGCGGGGCCCAATTTTTATTGCTCTTTCATTATTTTCCTTTTTTTTCCCCCATCGTTCTGCGTTGGCCGCTCCGAAGTCTGGATCGTTGTCATGCGTACGCGCGCGCGCGCGCGCCCGCTCGTCTAATGATTATCATTACATGATCCTATGTAACGCACGTACGCCTGTGCGCGCCTATACACCTATGTACGAGCGAACGATTCGTCGCGTTTACCCACTACTACTGCACAAAAAAAAGTAAAAGTTCAATTTCGTGCTCCTCGCTGGTCTACATACTTTGTGTCATAATATGCATTTTTCTTTTTTTCTTTTGCATTTTCACTTCTCCGAGGCTCAATTATCTTTTGACTAATGTTGATGGAAATTATATTTTCGCTTCGTTTCGTTATTATATATTTTCGTTTCATCACGCACCGCGCGGACACGTGTCGCGTATTTTCTTGTGACTCTCGCTCCCATGTGACTGCACTCGGAGTTTCGAGCAGATTTATCGAACCTATACGCAAATGCATTTCTTGCCGCGTACACATTATGAAATAGCCGATGATGACTGCGTCAAAGAGCGTATTAATGATTAAATTCATGAGCTTTACCGAAAACTTGTACAACCGCGTGAAACATCGGTATATAGTCAACGATTGTTTACAATATATTGTAATAGTGGCTAAGATTGTTTTCATTAATGATTTAATAAATAAATTGTTACCTTTTCAAGTACTTTTTTTTTATTTTAACGAACCAAAAAATCACCTGATTTTCACATGTAATTCCTAATTGATTTGAATATTTTTTCCTAGATGACATTATGAGTATCTTTCCACGTCACACCTACGCAAATACTGATTTGATTTACATTTTCTTAATAGATATTTGATAGCCGCGCCAGATCGATCCAAACGCGTATGTATTTTCAAGCGCTACTTGGACAACATTTCGAAAGCAAACTAGTTTCCATTCCTTCACTAGCCAAGCTCATCCTAGTCTCGTTTTTTGCGATATATTTTTGGAGTCTGCGAAGAAGTAAACCAAAAACTCGTTAATTTGAATAAACTTTTTGCCTTTGTAAGCGAGCAGCATCGTTGGAATGATAAAAAGCATAAAAATCATAACCCGTTGCGAAAAGTCTCCCGAAACTCGGGAGAGCTCTGCGATATTAGGAACATTCCAAAAAATTTACGATCATTTTTACGAACGTTCGCAAAAGAAAATTCTCCTTCTGCATTCGTATGATAATCTCGGCAACTTTTACAAAAGTCCCTCCCCGACTTTTAATTAATTTTTGGAAAATATATTATATTTTCAGGGAGTGCAAAAAAAAAGTTACCTAACGCTTATAATGACAAAGTGTAGCAATTATACAATCGCGATTTCGCAAAAAAAGAAAGAAAAATGAACATAATTCAGAACACTGCAGCTCTTGGTATAGACCAAACAATACATGGCACGGGCTAGTCGCGTTTTGGAAAAGAGAAAAGTGTGCACAGTGGCTTTCGCTAAATTACACCCGCAGCTGATTTTCCGAGAACATGACTCCCTTTATACAACTCTTTTGTGTCGGAGTTCCCTCCTGCCACACATTCACATCTGTATATGCGTGCAAGTGTGTGATATGCGAAAGTACACAATGAGCCTTCGAGACTTTTTAATTATATCAGAAGAAGAGATAGGAGGATATAGGCGCAATTACGAAAGTCGATGATATGGCCGAAGTCCTCGCATTAAACGCGCAGCGAGTCCGTAAGCCGGCTCTCTCTCTCGTAATGGCCAGCTTTGCGTGAATCATTAGCATGACCATTGAATTACATTACCCTCACCCCGACTAATAGGACCCATTGGCTCTTATTATTTTTCTTTTTTTCTTTTTCTCTCTATTTTTTTTTCTTTTTTATTGCACTCGCGATTTGTTGCGTAAATTGGCAATAACAATACCGTCCGGGTGTGTTGAAATCGACCGCTACAGATATTAGCTTATAGAAAATTGGCCGCGCGTTGGACAGTTGGAAAGACTCGGGCCGATTTTCTTGTGCTAATCAAAGCGTCAGTCGACGTCGAGAAAAGATGATCCGTGCCAGTGCTTGCATATATTTGTATCTTATAGTCCGTCCTTCTTCGATCGTAACGAGTGACGTCAGGGTCAAGCTCGGCTGGCATTTTTCAAATTTATGCATACGAGCGTCGAGCGAGAAGAAAATAAGAAACCAACGACATGGATTGAAAAATTTGTCAAAAAAAAAAAAAAAAACGCATTGATCGCGTCGATGCTGCATAGAGTGCACCGTCGCGAGTAGAAGGGAGTCGTGTACAACGTGGATTCAAGAGCGCGCATTAAGAGTGTGCAGCGCATGTGGATAGATGCGTTCCTTCTCCTCTGCGAAAGTGTAAGTACAAGTATAACATAATCCATAGAGGCCCCGAGAAACGGAGGAGCGAAAAGGCGAAAGAGAGAGAAAGAGAGCGAGAGCATAGCGCATAATGCACTCGACTGCGCCGTGGCGGTGGCGGCGGCGGCGAGTTTTGTGTGTGGCGCGCGCGAAAGAGGGAGAGTCGCGAACGAGATCGCGCGAGGAGCTGCCCAGGTAGGCAAAAGCCGAGACGTCGTCGCTTCGCTGCAGTAGACAAGGCGCGCAGCCAACACAACGCGCGCAGGCACCGAGATTATAAAAGTCCACTGGCTTCGGCGCCAAGGGGTCAGTCGTTTCAAACGTCTCGTGCTAGCTCGATCGACGCATTGTCGCAGACGATTGTTATTGCTTTGTTTTCGTCACTCCTACGGGACCAACTTTTTTGGTATGTTACTGTTTCATTTTATAAAATCGACTTCCAACAAAAAAAATATCTTAGTGCTATCGCAGTGTGTACTTGTATAGAAAAAAAGTGCTCGATTTGTACAAGTGAACCGGCCGAAGGGCAAGGAAAAGCGAGGAAGAGTATAAGAAAGAAAGAGATAAAGAGAGCGACGTCCTGCAGTATTTACTGGATGCGCACTCGACGGCCTTGAACGCATCCTCGCTCGGATATATACACAATATATATAAAACGCGTTTGTGCATCGTGCTTCTTCTTTTTCCTCTACTTTGCGCGTCGCGCAGCTCGAGTCTTCATCGTTTTCGAAGCCAAGACGAGTTCGCCGCATAATGAATCGGACAAAAAATCGCCTCAGCCTGTGTGCATCGGAATATAAACGACAAAGTGGAAAATTAGTCACTCGTGCGCACTTTTTTCCGTGAATTTTAGAGTTACGCAAAGTCGCAGGTGTGCAGCTGTGTGAGTGTGTGTGTCGCGTCAAAGACGTACGTACCCGTACGTGTGCGCAAGCAAGTGTGCTCATAATTTCTTCCGAAACTCGAGACGCGCGATCGGTCGAGCACGAGATCGGTCGAAAATCGGCCACGCGCCATGCCGATCTCCCACGAGTCCGCAATTGCGCAAGATCGCTGGAAAATATTTGAAGATTATACACGAGCCGCGCGCGCGGATCAACGCGTATTATGCGTTATGGCATGCACGCGCGCACGCATATACTTATAATGGGCGATTCGCGTCTCTCTCTCTCGGCGTGCTGTGATCGGGACGGGTAAAAGGCATGTGCGCGCGTAGACGACGTAATACACGTCGAGTTATTCTATATATAATGAGAAGCTGGAGCAATCGGCGGCGGCGGCCTGTGTGCGTATGCGCATATAGGCGGCATATTGCCAAAGCACGTGTGCGTAGCCAAGTCGAGTCTGAGAGACTTTCTATCAGGAAGTCTTTTCGTCCAAGTGCACTTTTTGTCGTCGATCCTTTTTTCTCTCCCTCTCGCAAAGTCCATGTATCGCAATGCAGTGCAGTTTTGCTACCGAGAACTTTGCCTTGGGTGTATCGGGACAATGCACAGAATTATATGCCCCGGCGCGATCGCTATTATAAATTCCCCAGCTCTCGCTCTCTTCGTCGGCGGCGTCTCGAGTATTTCGAAACGGGTCACTGGATCAAGGGCTGCAGGTTTTCTCGCTTCGTCTTTATTTTCTCATTTTTTTCCATTCCGCGATTACGTGGCGACGTTATTTTCTCTGTCACAAGAAGCCCGGCTCGCAATGAGATAATGTAACGCGAGAATTGACGTTTTCTCGGCGAAAACGTCTTCATTTTATAAGACGCAATTATAAAAGCCAAAAGTTCCTAGTCTCTTTCGCAACGGCAAAAGTATAAAACAAACATTGGTGGCAGCGCATCGCGATTAGCCGTTTATGCCGCCGATCGATTAAATTTCCAACAGCCACAGACCGCAAGCGACTTCCAGCGATGAAAATGCTGAAAATTTGCGCAACTATAAAGTTCGTTCGGATAAGAAGAAAGAGAGAGAGAAAAAAAAATTTGACAATCGACGCATAAAAATCGCCTGTACTAACGAAACAAACGATTATCTAGGTGAATAAGCGTTGAATAAAATACGTAGTTAACGCGCGCGTTCTATAGAGCAACGGCGAAAAATGTCGATTACATAAGGTAGTAGTAGCAACTACACACAGGCTCGGCTCGCAGCTGAGGAGAGCGAGAGAGAGAAAGTTCTTTCAACACTCGGCTACATACTGCTGCACATTTGCTTTGCTCTGTGTGCATGTGCATGCGAGTGTCTGTGTGTGTATGCATGTGCCACGGACTCTCGACACGGTGTACAATTCGCTCGCGGGGCCTCTTATGTCATTTAACGGCGCGCGAGCGCACACGAGGCCCCAAAAAGCAATACCACTACTACTGCTATACTCTCCCCGAGACTCACTGTGCAGTTGCAGTCACGCTGACGTAATAATATATATTTATGCTATATAATGCTCCAGCCGCTATTACGGCATAGCCATAATGGTTATTACATTATATTCGCAATCGGAATCGAGAGAGAGAGAGAGAGAGAGAAAGAGACGCGAATAGATCGCCGCGAGTATACACCATACGTATGCGCATTATTGTGTGCACTGGCTCGCGCTGCACTGGGTCAGCTGCACACGTAATTATGTAGGTCTCCGGTACACACACGAGCGAATATCTCGGTATTATATCATAGCCCCTTTCCATTCTCGTTCTCGTTTTATTCGAAAGATTCATCATCATGAGCGGCGAGTGGGTTACACCGGAGGACGACTACGACTGTCAGCTGTCGGAGGAGACCCAGAAGATGGCCAAGGACGAGCTGCGCGAGGACAAGAACACTCGCGACCAGGCCCTCGAGCAGCTGCGCAGCTGGCTCAAGCTCAACCCTCGCGTTGAGAACAGCCGCATGGGTATGCTCCCGCATTATTTTCTTCCTCGTCCTTGATGGAAACACTCAACATTTCATAGACGGTTTTTTTAATTACCGCAGTTTTTTACTATAAACTGAAATTTTATTATTTTCACTTGTTTTCGGAAACACCGCAAAACTAACTAACTTCCGCGAAGTATTACTGCGTCCATTTCGCGAAATCGTACTTGAATCAATATTTTTACTTTTTCACTTGCAATTTTATAGTTGAAGGTACTCACCATCTATTGGTATTATTTCATTTAAAGTGTTTGAAAACTGGTCTACATTTTTTGAAATAGTTAAATTTTCATTTTTACGTCATTTAAAATCCATTTAATATTTGCAAAATAATTATAACAGAAAAATCGCCAAAACAGATTTATTTATGATCATGTATTTTAAAATATTTTAAACGAACGTTTTCCGGCTTTGAGCATTTCTACCAGGGATATTGTTATGTGAAATTACAGTCAGCTAATTTTAATCCACCGATTGTCTTTTTTATTACTCAGATGCGAGATTTCTTCTGAGATTTTTGCGTTGCAAAAAGTTCAACGTACCAATGGCCCAAGAGGCGATCGAGCGTTACCTCCTCCTGCGCCAAGTCTACCAGCCCGCTTTTCACAATCTCGACGTGAAGGAAAAAAACATGGAGGAACTGCTGGCTCTGGGGTAAGCCTCGCGACGATTATTATTTTTCCTTTGTACAAAGATCGTAATTAATTGTAACGTATAACACGTGCCTTGCCCCACGATACAGCTACATATTTGCCGTGCCAGGAAGAGATCCCAAAGGACGTCGCGTCATCGTCGCCAGACCCGGTAAACAAATAAACTAGCCAACTTGCCGATTCACCTCATAAATCATCGATCGGTCTCATATACAATGTTGTTTTGCAAATTACCGATCGCGACGATTCATCAAGTTCCGAGTTAGAAAAAAAGTCCTCACCTTTCGCGATCGAATAAAATCATCAATCTCTCTCATTTTCCTAGCTCGGACGCTTTCCACTCATCTCGCACTTTTTCGCTTGCCAACTTTGTAATAAGTTAGAGCGACAACAAAAAATTATCGTGTGTTACGTATGTGTGCGTGTGCGTGTGTGTTTGTTTTTTGTTTCTCTCTTCTCGCAGGTGTCTTCGATCCGTACAAATACACCAACGCCGACATGTGCAAGATTCACGGGCTGACTTACGAGGCGCTCATGGAGGACGAGGAGAGCCAAGTGCGCGGATTCGTGCACTTTGCCGACGGAGCCGGAGTTAGCTTCCCGCATCTGACCCTCTTCACTCCGAAGGAGGCCGTGCGCATCGTCAAGAACGGCGAGGTGAGCAGTACTGCCAAGGTCGCGTACTTTGCCGTTGCGCAATACGCGGACACGACTCGGCTTCTTTTTCTTTTTTTTCCTTTTTTTTTGGATTGCTCAACCATAATTTCAACTTTTTCTCGTCTCTCTCAGCGCACCTTGCCGATGCGTCACAAAGAGGTGCACGCCATCAACGTGCACCCGTCGCTCAAGTTCGCCCTGGACTTCGGCATGTCGCTGATCTCGGAAAAGATTCGCAGCCGCGTGACCATCTACACGAGCCTCGACGACGCCAAAGAGAAAGGCATGGACTGCAGTATGCTGCCCAAGGAGTACGGTGGCACAATACCGATGAAGGAGATGATCAGTAAGGCTCGATACGTACTTGGACGACGGCGGGATACCAGTTTGTTCTAAACTCGCTTCGTGCTTTACAGATGCCTGGCGCGAGGAACTCATGAGCCTCAGAATGACGCTTCTGAGCCACGACAAAATGCGCGTGAGACCCGAGTTGTACTCGGAAAAGGCCCGAGAAGGCGCCGTATCCGCTCTCAAGCAGGGATTCAATTGCTCGACCGTATCGACTGGCGAATCCACCATGCATGGAATTTGTGGTTCCTTCAGGAAACTCGAGGTCGATTGATGACTGCCGTCTCAAATATTATATGCTATCGTAGCGTCATTACAACGAATGAAAGAGATACAAGTGAGGAGGGACAAGAGAATAGGAAGAGAACCGCAGCATCGATCGCGATTATGGATACGCATACACACCACGGTGCAGTTTAGATATCATATAACTTCATAGCAGGGAATTATTTGCCACATTATTGACATTACTCTTCACGCAAAGTATTGTGGGTCATTTAATCATCACGTAGTTATACACACACTCACCATGATATTTTCATGTTACAAATGTGCAACGCACGAGTAGAAAAAGGCAGTGCTGCGTCATCTCCTTTCGAACTCTCCGTTCAATGTACAAAATTTCATTTATTCCTCTTGAACATATTGTTTTTAGCCTGTAAGAGAAAACGTTTGGATGGAAATTGTTTTTCTTGGCGCAAAATGTTTCTGCACCATATGCAACAAAAATTTTACACCTACATAAATCTACTTTATTTACAAACGATCAATTGTAATCATAGACTACGACAATTAGATGAATAATCAGTACTATTAAGCCATGAAGAAACGATTGTTTTAATTTTACTCCTTGTTTCAAGCAAGTCCTCTGGATCTGCATCCATGTTATCGGGATTCAAATCCTGACAGTGCGAAGATCCTGCAAAAAAACCGAGCAAAAATTAACTTGGCGTCTTTTAATTACCATAATTTTAATTACCGTCGATAAGGAACGCCGGTGACGCATCATTGAGATCCTCAAGGACCCCGAGACTGTGCCAAGGGTCGACGTTTCCATTGACAAAAATGACGTTCGTCACATCCGGCACATCCGAGCCGTAAACGATGTTCGTTCGATTAACGCCACGCTCGACCAGATTTCTCTTGAAGCTGCAGATTAAAAAATGTTTCGACGTTAATTTGTGTCGGATTCGCGTCGTTGGCTACATACGGGATTATATAGTACTCACTAAGGGCCGTAAATATCGGTGCACATGTCGGCGTAAAAGTCGAGGTCGCAGATTTTGCCAAATACTGATTTGGCCGAGTCGGTCGTCTGGAAGTAGCCGAATTCCGTGCAGGTCTGATAGATCCACTGCCTCACTGATAACGACAATAATATGGGTTATCGAATTTGCGCGCTACCTGCCTCGAATGCATAAAAACAAGCTCATTACTCATTGTGCTGTTTCCCCAATCCGGGCTTTGCAACTTTTCGATGTATTCCGAGTAATTGTACTTTTGGCAGTCCGAGCCCGAACCGATTAATTTGGCCAAGCGTTCTACAGGATCTGAAATGCTGGAGTTGCCCATGGTTTTGCAGATGTTGTCTATCGAGCTCGTTCCATTCACGACTCGGTTGTACTGGACTTTTGACGCGAATAACTAAATCGAAAAAATTAAATAAGAGTCTAAGAATAATCATGAGTACCTATACATGCAATTCAACGTACTTCAGTCACGTTACTCATGAAAAAAGCGATGTCCTTCGTCGAATTAATGCTCAGTTCATCGCAAAGACTGTAAGTGAAGACAGCACAATCATAATTTATCGTATTTTTTGTCATAACGGTATTGCTTACTTAAAGGTCGTCTTGAGCTTTGTAAATCCTTCTGGATATTTTAACAGTTGCTCCGTCTTATCGATCGCTTCTTTAATACTCTCGACGCAGCTGGCATTGTTCTTTTCGATCGATTTGGTTATAATCTCGTAATACTCTGTTTGAAATTGAACGCTATTAATTACAACTGCGTAAATTTATGTTGGGCTTAACAATAATTACCGTAAAAATCAGTTTTAGCTCTCACTGGGGCACTGCTCGATACGGCTCCCTAAGCAATCAATAATTTTTTATGCGTAAAATTTATCTTTAGGCACATGAGAAAGAATTTAAACATGACCCAGTTTTGTGGCAATGTTTATCAACAATACAAGATTGTCTGGAGATTAAAGTCTAAGAATTTATCTTTTTTCCGCACTCGATTAGGATCAACGTGTGACGTAGCAAAATATGCGCGATAAAAAAATATTTTTAAAAACAATAATGAGCCCACATTACCTGTATCAAGTGAGGATACTTTATTCTTATCCAGGCAGCCATGTTACCTGCATAGGAGCCACCAAAAACGATGACTTTGGCGTCTGGCAAATCTTTTTCTTTTTTCTTTATATTTATAAAATGTGCAACGTCCTCTAATGCTTGATCGACGCTTAGGTACTGCAAATTATCCGTGCTCATGTCCCTTTAGCCAGAATCAAAATTTTTTATTTTCCACTATTTTAAACCCAATAAAAAAAAAGTAATTATTTACTCGGTTGGTCTACTTTGTCCGTAATAACGGTGTTCGGTGTAAAACATGAGAGCCGAATGTTGCTCTGCAATGTCATACATTAGACCAGCATGCAAAAAACCCTGATTTATTTCCCACTCTCCTCCCAACATGATCAATATTGGTCCAGATCCATTAAAAAATTTGCTTTCTTCAAAATATCTCTGTCAGGTCAAGTATGAAGTTTTCGTAATAAATAAAGAAATTTTATAATTCATTTTAGGCAAGTTTTATTCGTTTATAGAAATAACATTTGATTACAAACATACCATAAGCCAAGTTCGATTATCGCGGTTATTGAAGTGATCGATCGGTTGTTCAACCCATTTATCATCCGCTCTGCGCACGCCAACCCATTCAGGTTCTTCGATTCCATCATAATGCAATCCGCGAAAGCCAAAGCCTTCAATTAATACACCAACTTGCAGCACAATTAAAAAAACCGTAATTTCTTTTGTTGACATTATGTATGCTTTGCACTGTTACTTCGATTATCAATACGAATGCATCCGTTGTTGTACATTTACTTATATGAATAGTTACAAACTTTCAATGCGTCTAATGAATAACGCTGTCCACTTTTGTTTAAATACGCACGGCTATCTGAGTTTGATAGCTTATCAATTCAGGCGAAGAACGCGCATAGCTTTAGTACAAATTAGAAGATAATACGCTAGTAATTAAAACCAAAGACACGAAGATCCTAGATAAGATTATTTAAGGAGGCTCTTCTGGAAGTTGTTCTACAGTGAGCGCGGGATCAGATACGCTTACGCCAGCAGCGCATGGCCATTGAAAAATCAATAATTCAAGCTGTGAATTATTGGAATTATACAATGAAGACGAGATAATTTCGTCCCTGGCTTACGATTTTTTTTCTTTCGTCAAGTTTAAAGTTTTTACAAATCTTTTTCTATAAATTTTATTACCAATGCTTTTTTTTCTTTATAAAGAGCCTCCTTAATTAACGTTCACTTACATTAAATTCATCATGAAAATGTAATAGAGCATTCTGTATACTTAAATATTTCTTTTTAAAAAGAAAACTTTGTAATATTTATGACTAAGACTAAATAGTTACATAATAATTGTACATAAAATTAATCGCGATCCGAATCTGTTGTATCCCACTCATATTCCTGCTTTGAACTTTTAGAAGAGTGGCCACCACCTTTTGAACTATGGTGGGCACCGCCGCTACCACTACGTCGACCTTGTTCTCGTGGCATTTGCTCATGATGCGAACTTTTGTCCATATCCATCTTTTCTTTAAAATGAGGAGGAGGAGAAACTGACCTAGAGCGTGAATGGCTTCTTGTCTCTGAAGGATCGCGTTTACCTGTATCCCATTTAGTTGGAGGTTGTGGAGGTTGAGGCGGTTTCCTTGAATTCTACAAATTAAATGAAAAATTTACGTTTTTGATACTTGTTTTATTAATGATATTTTTTCAAATTCCAAAAGGTACCTTGGAATTTCTAGATGAAGGTCTAGGTGAGGGTGGACGCCTTGATTTACGTTCTCTGGATGGCGATCGGCTTTCTCTATCAGAGCCAGCATCTCTTGATTTACTCGCATTATAAACATCAACTTCGATCATGGCGTCTGGGTTCAATGGGCTGCGAGAGCGAGATCTAGACCTGGATCGGGATCTCGAAGGAGATCGAGAAACAGGGGTTCTGGAACGAGACGCCGAACGAGATCTGGAGCGTGGAGTACGGGATCGTGGAGAACGGGATCGTGATCTGGACACAGAACGACTATGAGAGCGAGATCGAGACCTGGACCTGCTTCGCCTCCTTCTGGATTTGTTGTTGAAATTACTATAGAAATAAAAATTAATGATTAATATATTATTGATTCATGAAATTAGAGATATTTAAAGAAATTATTGCAATAAATCATACTTTCTATATCCATCATCTTCATATCTGCCACCTCCTCTGTTATCAAACTGTCTAGGTCTTCTATTGCTAGCGTAAAAACCTCTGTTATCTCTTCGATCAAAGTTGTTGCCTCCACGATTGTCAAAGCCACGACCACCACCTCGATTGTTGAAATTCCTATGATTCATTCTTTGATTCATTCTTCCTCGTCCATCGCGTTCAGGAGATTCAGACCATCTCCAATCTCTTCTGTTTTGACCATTATCATGATCTTCCCAACCTCTCCTATAAATCAAATAAAGAATATATTAGCTAGAGTCATATTAATTGTATACTTTCCATTTAAATTTATATTTTACAGAGCTTTTATTGTATTTACCAAGATACAAAAATTGTTGAACATGTTTATTACGCAGAAAGCAGAGTAAAATTATATTTTTTATTTTAACCAAAACCGTAATGCACATGAAAATCAAAAATTAAGGGCCTACTGCACTTGCCATATTTTAAAATGATCTATTTTCTAGTTTCTATGTACATTGCAAGGAAAGTTTATTGAAAAGTAAAATGGTAAAATGAGTATTACAGTGATTTATAAAATAAAATGTAATACTTATGATTTTTGTTTCCTTGAAAAGTTGATAGAAAATGAAAATTTTGCTTTAAAGGTACATTTGTAACTTACCCTAATGTAGGCCCTTTTAAAAATTTAATTACTATAATTCAATCGAAATTTGCTATCATACACTTTTGCAGTTATTCTGATAATTTCAGAAATTTTTTTCTATCATTCAAGTCAAATTATTTAATAATTGTAATATGCCTTACTGACCCTTAGAATTTAGTATTAGTGCATATTACTGATTTCTCGATTAAAATTAAATTCTGCTAATCTTTCATAATAACGTACTGATTATTTCTCAAGTATGAACAATTCTATATTTTGATGATGAAAAACTCAGTAAGTTTTTCAATTGAATCTGTAATATTGCAAATCTGTAAAATCTTTTCAATATCTGAGTACTGGTTATCTAATGTTCTTTTTGTACTATATCCTGAGTAGAATACTTAAATACCAAAATCTTCTGTTATCTGCATCCTGTCAGGAGTTTTGTTTGCAGGCAAATGAAACAAAATCTCTAAGATAAAGGCATATCTACTATGAGTTGGAAACTACACCTGGAGTATCTGAACACTAAGAACTTACACAAATCGTCTTCCATGCTAACCATTAGAATGCATTTCAAACAATTATAAACTGCATTCAGTTAGCATTTCTGTTGCTTTCCTTTTAAACTTACTAATAACTAATAACTGTGTCAGCAACAGCAAGGATATTTCAAGCAACATAAGAGGAAGAAAGAGCATAATGGATCAAAATTGATTGCAAACATTGATCTGTAAAATTTGTGATATCTTCACCATTCTAATTGTAATTGATACTTTCAGATAATGCCTTTAGCAATAACTAAACACATTCCATACTTAATTCTGAATGAAAAAAGATTTTGACTGTAAAAGTTTTGAAAAATGTAATGCTGTAATCATTTGTGAGACTGTTAATGAGCAAATATCACTTCACTCATTGTTTCAAGTCTTATGGATAATTATTGAGTGGCAAGAGAAAAAAATCGAATTCCTTGTGATAATCCATTAATATATCAGGTTGCAAGCAAAATTTTTATGCTACGAAGATAATTAGTCAAATTATACCTGCTTGAGTTGAAACCACCTCTACGAGAGCTGCTGCCACCTCCTCTTGCTCCATCAGCAAACATTTCTTGTCGTTTTTGCCATAAAGGTGGGCTCTTGACACCATAATCTTCCGTGGGATTTCTGAATGTATGCAAAAAATTGCAGGCACTACCTTTAGGACAGTGCATCATTCCACAAATGGCTCCTCTCCATGATTTCAAGTTGACAAATTCACAATGCAGTTGGCGTCCAGCATACCAACGACCTTTCAATCCACGTAAAGCTCTTGCAGCTTCACGCTCACTCATGTATTCAACATATAAGTTTCCTCTTAGATGATGCTCAGTATTCTTGCAGTACTGTAAGGTCTTGATTTTGCCAAATTTTTCAAGCTCTGGTACGACGTCGAAATAAAAATCTCTAAAATGTCCGCGAGATTCTCTGTGATCATATTCCAATCTTGAATCAGGATCATACTCGTGCCTTTCTAACGAGTAGTGGGTGTAAAAGTTTGGCACCAAAATAACAGTGCTCAAACCTGGTCTTTGATGGTTCCTAGAGCAAATGTCACCATATCTGCATGCTCCAGTTTTGTTGAAAAATGGGCAGATTTCCTTGCCTGGTTGAGTCTCAGTAATGGTGCGCAATTTGCTAGGAGTCCTTGATCCATCATCTATGTATGCATCAAAATCTTTTTTCATACGGTCATAGGACTTTTTCTGCTCATCTCGTCGCCGACGCTCCGCGTCTTTCTTTTTTCTATGAGTGTCCTGCATTTCTTCGTATTCTTTGAGCAATAATTCTTGTTGAGCTCTCTGCTCTTCTCGGGCCTTGACTTTACGAGCTTGAATTATCTCCCAATCTTCTTGCGCTTTTTTCTATAAGAACAAAACAATGAGTCAGTCACATGTCTATAGAAAAATGTCGGATAAAAGATAAACATTGTAGGCCATTAGAATATTTACCTCGGTTTCTAACCAAACTTTTTCAAGTCTTTCGTGTTCGGCACGTTGTTCCTCTTCAAGCTTCAATTGTTGTTCAGCCTGTTGTTTCTTCCACTCAATGTATTTGGGATCTCGCTGAAGAACGAGGTCTAATTGTTCTGACTCTTGGTCGCGGAGCTTTGCTGCTTTTCGTCGCAAACGTTGGCGCCGTAATTTTTTAACGAGTCTTCTCCATTCACGATGAGATTTACGAGGCTGCTGCTGCTCTGACGCAGGCTTCTCCTTTTCCATAACCAAACATTTTGAAAGCTTTGTTGAAACACCTTTCTTGTTTTACGAAATATTATATTAATATTATACGTGAAAAGTATTTGATGAAAGAACGTGTCCGGCAACTACGCTCAATACTGCTCGTTATATACGTCGTAACAACGAAAGTAAAATGGTCGCATCAGCCGCGCCAAAGATCACGAATGACGATGGCTGAAATGCCGGGTTATGTTGGTTTCGCTTTGCGTGCGCATCTAACGGCTAACAGCGCTCTTAGTTGACAGTTTTGAAAAGCGCGAAATTTAAAAGGAGAGAGAATGCATTTTTCAACCGAAGAAGTATTTTATGGAAATTGAATTCTATACTCGTGGGTTATTCTTCATTTTTATTTGCGGAATTGTCGTTCAAAAGTTATTTGCATAAAAGGAAAGATTTATCTCGGGTCAAGACCTACCTTCATTTCAATATTTTTTTAATTTGTGTAAATCGTACTTGTTCAAGATGTCAGACTATATCCAAAGAATTCCTTCTTACTTGTGGATATTTTATATCGAGATTGAGACCCGAGTTTCAATTTTTAGAAAAATTAAAATTAATCAATAGAAATATATAAAATAATTGAAAATAACTTTTTGATTTTTAATTTCAGATAACTAAAGTATTTGATACGCCACTTTTGGGTGTGTCATATACAGATAATGGTGAGATTTTCATTCTATTAAATAAATTGAGTAAAATTAGTTTTAATTTTTATTCTAGGATTTTCTACGTTATTTTAAGAAATCAAATAAAAATTATGCATTTCACGTGTATTAAAATAAAGTAGAGAGCAGGTTTCTACATTACCATCGAAAATTGTTTGTATGACGTTATATATCGCATCAACGTTTCAATGGCAATGTACCGTTCCGTAATGCACTTACGTGTTTTATCAGGATTGGTTCGAGTAAACGTACCGAAACATCGATTGGGAAAAATCAATTGTTTTCGAAACGCAAGTAAATCGTAATTTCGGAGCAAGGATGGTGAATATATCGTGCCAAGTACGCGACGAGGGCCGAGGTTATTCGAGTACAGGCCGGCATCGAGTCGTGAAGCAAAACAAAGGCGACGTCTCGAAAAGGAGGGCATCGGTGCTGTGGCTCCGCGGTGTGCATCATAATATATCTGTATACAGAGTTCACCGGTACCGTTATATCCTTCTCGCTGCGCGCACACGCTCCACTCCTGCACTGCTGCGCGAGTCAGTCAGTTAGTCGTTGGTGCGCTTTTTCCGTAAACACAGGCTCGCGATGCTCGACTCGTCCTCGCTCGTTGCATAGCGCAAAATTTAATTGCCGAATAAAAGGCCAATTGCATCGGAGTCAAAAGTCATTGGAACGTAGGAGCCAGTGCTGTTTTTACAATTGAGAGTTTCGGTAGCGCTTTGACACGCGCACACCTGTTGCTCAGCTGTGTGGTTGCGCATGGAAAGAGAGAGAGAGAGAGAGAGAGAGAGAAAGAAAGAAAAGAGAGCTAGGTCGATCGTCGCGCAGGTACAGAGCGTTAGTACGGGCATACAGGCACAGTAAAGCGCGATCAGTGTCGTGAAACGCACGCGTCTTCAGTCACATCGGCCTCCGTCTACGTAGGCACGCGCGCACATATGGGCGAGCAGAAGAGCATGAATTTTGACAGTAAGCAGCAGTCGCGGACGAACGGCTGCGGCGGCGGCGGCGGCGACTCCAATAACAAGACGGCGTCCAGCTGGTCCTGGACCAAGGATGCAAACAACGGCAATGACAGCAAGACAAATGGAGCCAAGGCGTCTTCGGGGACGATCAAACCGAGCCAAAAAGACGACAGGAAAAAGAGTCTGTTTTGGGCCTACTTCTGGTGGCTGTTCGGCGGCGTCTTCGGGGCCCACCACTTCTACCTCGAGCGCGACGATCACGCCTTGATATGGTTCTGCACCCTCGGCGGCTACTTCGGCTGCGGATGGCTCAGGGACATTTATCGGCTGCCGAGCTACGTGGCCGACGCCAACGACGAGTCCGAGTACGTCAATTGGTTCAAATATCGTGTCCGCTTTTACAACAAGGTGAGTACTTGGCCGAGACTTCGGCATAATTATCGCCACTTATATTATCGGCTCTCGACCAAGTTTTGTTTACCCGCTCGAAGCGGCAAAATGAATTACAAAATACACAGCGATGTAAAGAGAAAAATTGACATGTCGGGTACTTTTCGCAGCCACCTTTTGCCTCGGTGCGCTACGTCGGTGCGACCATCGTGGCCTACCTCTTCGGCCAGTTGTTCATCATGGCCATACCCGGCGACGAGATCTACGGCATCAATTTCAGGCCGCTGATTATTTTGACTCCTATCGCAGTTGCCTTTGGTAAGTATTATACGAACGCAATACATATAAACATGCACGCGACGCACACTCGTAACCCGCTCTGACGCTTTTTCACGAAACTGATAAGAAAAAAAAGCCACGAAAAGCTATTACAATAACTTCACGCGCACTTATTACTTATACTTGTTTGCTTTACATAGCACGAATTCGCGATAACGCGGGCCGTGCAATATTTATTATCGACTATTTAATGGTGCTGCTCGTCCAATGATTGATTGCATTTTTGAATTTGAAAAGGAACTTGGCTGGTCGGTAACGTCGGTCGCGAGCGCGGCTCGATATGGGCGAGCTTGCTCGTGGCCTACCTCTTCTATCCGACCCTCGACTACATCGGCGACGAGACCCTCTGGCTGGGCGTGATGGTCGTGGCCGCGACCTTGGCCTTCGACACCTTCTCCAAGAAGTGGCGTCTCGAGAAGAAACCAAAGCAAAAGCCCATGAGACGCGTCGTCGTCTTCGTCGCCTTTGCTCTGGTTTACTCCTCCATGTGGACCAGCTACTTTTACTTCAACGCCACGCTCACCGACAGCTTGGGCGAGGAAGTCAAAGTATCCGAGGCGATCAAGCATTTCCTAAGATCACCCATTTGGCTTGACCTCAAGGTGAGTCTGCTTTCTTCTTTTTCTCTCTTCAACTCCTCGGTAAGAAATAATTTTTGAATTTTCCGCGTCATTGCAGACTTGCTTGGACGAAACATGGCGGCACGCGAGACACCACGGCTTTTGGGCGACCTGGAGACAAATCATCGATTTTACCGATCCTCGTGGGGAAATAAACGCCTATAAGGTAAGTTTTTTTTTCTCAAATCACGTTCAGTCGTAATTTTATTACATTAGTACATGCGAACTCGAGAAAGAGTTATCCTGCCGTCTGTTTGGCCTGCTGACTACGTTTTACATACATGTTTTCGACACGAGTTCGCTCCCTCGTTACGTTAAAATTGTATTCAGGCGTAAACCACGAAAAATGCTTGTCTTTACCCAGGCCACCAACTGTGCATGTGTTCTGGGAATTTTCTAATTTTCCCGACATATGGCATCGCATTGCTACTACGATAACTACCAATTCTAAACACTTCATAAAGTATATAAAGTCATTAGTAATAGGCTAATGAAAGTAAGATTCGTTTCAAATAAATGCAGTGTCTCTTTGACTTCGAGCATCTGTGTGCCTCTCCAATGCATGTGTGCGTGTTCACGCGACTCATCGTCAACCCAAATAGTATGTAAATCGGAATCGTTTAATTCAGTAATGATTAGAAAGTTTACATCCAGTAAAATAGAGGCGTTACTCATGCCTAGTCGTGCACTCTCTTGATTTATGCCGCCTATGTTATATACACGAGTGTCCCCTACAAACGATTACCGAATCCAACGACTGTACATAGCTCGCACATGTACTTTTACTTTGTCCACGCTTTTTTTACTCTCTAGTATAGACCATAGTAAGTGTATATGATCAGTGCACGTCAAGAAGCTGCAACGCGAACAGCCTAAAAAATACCACATCGAGTGCAGCAAGTGATTTTAAAAAGCCACTTTTAATCTTAAATGATTAGTGTTAGTGTTTGAGATCGTTTAATTGTACAAAATGTTGTCTATAATTCGAGAAATAGGTTGCTTTTTTAAACTTATCAAACGCTCAAATTTGGAAAAATTGAAAATATTACTAAAGAAAGTTAAATGGGATTCCGAAAAAAAGCGTGGTAAACTTCTCAAGAAACTACGCAACTTAATCAACAATTGGAACGACCAACTTCCTGATCTCCGAGACATTATTGAACCAGAAAAAATAGATTTGCTTCTCTCAGATTCCATAAATTACATTTCCTTAAATCGGTATGGTTATGTAATTGGAGAACGATTCATCAGGTTTGTGGTCCAAACCGGCTACAGGGACGAGCCCGAAATTGGCCAAGACGGCAAGCTATCGTCTTGTCGTACCACTCCAGTGCATCATGCGTTTCTATTATGTGATCCAAATTTAACACATTTTTATAACTATGAGTTTTATAGAATAGTTGGTCAGCTTTTTAAAATCTACCATCGAGTCGACGTTAATTACATCAGCGAGTGGGGCAGCACACATTTCCACATGGCCTGCATGTTTGGCTGTGTTGACATGGTCGAGAAATTCCTCGATTTTGGCCACGATCCCAATTGCCTTGTGTCACAAACCGGTTACTCGCCGCTACACTATGCTCTAATGAGCAAAAATTATACTGAACAGACTACCCGATTGCTGCTGAGAAGAAACGCCGATCCGAATTTGGCCAACAGAAGTGGATTGACTCCTCTGCACATTATTTGCATGGGTTTGCACTCTAAATCTCATAACTTGACGGAAATGTTCTTCCAAATCGTTGACGATAACCAGCTCAAGGTTCAGATTGATGCCCCGGATAATTTAGGTTGGACACCGCTGAAATTGGCCGTGTCGCATCTCCTGCCGCAAACCGTCGATATACTCTTGGATCGCGGTGCAGAACTGTCGATCGATTATTCCTACTTAATGCACTTGGCCAAGAAATTTCACCAACAGGATCTCTTCATTTATTTTCCATTTAAATTAAGACTAGCGTCTCGTCTGCTAACCACCGTCGAGAGTCTTGAAAAAAAAGGATACAAACTGAACCGAGACGAAGTTTTAATGATCATGAAATTATTCGCTACGAAGAGATTATTTAAAAGATCGACGGATATTGACGAAAATTGCTGTGATGATGAAAGATTCAGGAGAGTTGCGAGAAAGACTATGATAACTTCGAGTCTTTCACTCTACGACCTTATGATGTTGCGACCCGAAGTGGCGGCAAAACTCGTCACATTTGAGGATTTTAATGACTTTGTCGAGTTCGCGCAAGTGGATGATAGTTATTACCTTACCAAAAGGACTAATGGGGCTTGTGCTGCGCACCTGGGAGAGATATTATTAAGAAGATTTTTTCGGCGATGGGCATCGATGACTTTCTGGGAATTGACGCAATACCGAATACCAATTCTTTGCTGTCACATAATCACCGGGTATTTAGATAACGAAGATTTATGGAATATTTGTTTGGCAGCTGTAAAACCTTTACAATGTTTTCCACGCTAATAAATAAATTTGAAAAATGAGCATCGATTTTTCTATAAACCCACGATCAATTGAAGTTAAAGATATTAAAATATACATTCATTTCCATGATATCCTATACACATATAAAAACGTGAGTATTTAAAAAAATACACTTTAACGCAGCTTAAAAATTTCAAATACCCGAAAAGGACGAATACTCGAAAACATTTGAGAACTCAACACGAACACAACTCATTCGAACAAAGCTCGAAAAATTGAATACTCCGGCATTCTCACTCTTTTTCAGAATAAAACAATAATTAACATTTGTTGATGTCAGTTTCATCCAAGTCACAAATAAATTAATAATATACATGGCATTGTCACATACAAATTGCAAAAATAAATTATGTCAAAATTTTCTATCTTTAAAAGAAGTGACATTTCAAAAAATTTGCCTTATTTTTGTTTAAAAATATTCATTCATTCCGGTGCAAGTTTCATTTCAACGTTATAGCTGCGTGAAAGGATGCTCCTTTCGCACCTTATACATTTACACGCATAAAGTAGTGTCCGTGACAACATAATAATACAGAGTTTTCTAGCATTCAAATAATTTTATGTCATAAATCATCGCGCTAAGCAGTTATCTTTGAGTGGGACCGAATTTTTAATATATTGCCAACAACCCTTACTAAACTACACCTTTACACGAATTACATGAGATTAATTTCAATGTATTTTCCCATGAGCGCATCGACACGCGGTATACTTTTCAGCGGCCAGCTCGTCGACCTTTTTCTTGTATTCTTCACTTTGTGCAGCATCAAAATTTCTCGTCCTTTTTTCTTTTCTTATAAAATGTACACATATACAAGTTTTTTATGACGTAGCTCGGAGGTAGGCTAGGGAGAGGGAAATGCCTAAGTATAGTACTCGAGTGCGCTTACAGGTGAGAAACCGATGATTACATCGATTCCGTCTCGCCGATACGGGTAGTCTGTATACATGCAGTAATGGGATTGAAGGCATATACACAAGGGCATCGAGCTCCTCGAGCTTATACTTACATTACCTACTACCGAAAGATTTTTCGACTTAATTTCAGATATTTCGCTGCCTGACTCTCGCTCCCTCTTTTTGTATATATGTAGATGTTCAGGTAGAATCCAGTAGCACTCGAAATTCCGCATTATTTTTATACGCACGTGCGCTTGATTGTACGCAAAAAATCAAAAAATCCCCCGACAGATGAAGCATATTGTGAGTCGCTGATTCTGCGATCGAATGAATATATAATATTATATATGAAAAAAGACGGTACTTTGGCGGGGAGGCTTTTGCACTTGCCGTGGTTACCGCAGATGGACGACTCTGGGGCTCTACTTTAGCTCTTTTATTTATGCAAACATTTATATTCAGTCTTTTTGTAAAAAAACATAATTTTGCGTACCAAGAGTTCATTATATTCAAGTGTTGTCCTCTAAATTTTCAGATTCTTCAATCCAATGTATTATTTTTACCTTATGTTGAATTCCTGATACGGAAGTTTCTGCCGATAAATAAATTATTTTAATCAATATTTTTTAGTGAAATATGGTCAAATTCATGCAATTATTTCGATTTCCACGAATATCTATCTGAAAAATATTATCTGACAACGTCGTCTAAGTTAATTATCGATGTGGACGTAAAGTTTTCCTGAAAATTGTCGTTCGTGAGATTTTTGGTGTAGAGAAAAGCTGCAGAATTTTTGAAATTTTGTTCGAAAAGTTCGTCACTTCATCGATATGATATTGATCCTGACTCAAGTAAAATTTTGAGGATAAAAATGTTTAGATAGTAATTTCTTCGTATCCAAAGCATAAAATTTCGACATGATTAGCTGCATGTCTTCGTATTAATAAATCTGCATCACCTCTGATTTTTATTCCCTACCGAATGAAGTTTGTCTGGTAGGTCTACAAGTACTAAAACTACCTTTTAACTAGCTTTTAACGGTCAGGTCGTGTCGAAAGTATGGACAATGTATACATTCATGCTCAAATCTGGTTATCAAAGGCTGAAAATGGACTAAATAACCCTTATTACAACTGAAATTTTATATTTCAATGATTTTTGAATAATATTTTTAAAATATTGATTTTTTATTATTTTTTTTATACTTTGCTAACGTCTTTACAACTAATCTTTTTTTGTTGTTGCAGGTTCTCGGGTTGGCTCATACAGCTTCGCAGACAGAAGTCACGACCAGGTGGCGCAAATTGTCCCGAGAAAACCACCCTGACAAGTGCAAGGGTACAGAAGAGGAGCGTCGCCAGGCGCAAGAAAAATTCATGGAAATTCAGGAAGCCTACGAGATCCTCTCGAACGCGAAAAATCGACGACAGAAAAAAAACAAAAAGTCTGACCATGATCTGTAGCCTCAAAAAATATGAAGTGTTTTTATAAATTGTAAATAAACTAGGTGATAACTCGTCTGATCGTAACATATGTATGTTGGAGCGCTGTGTATGCGTGCGTGTGTATGTACGCTTATTTGTAAATGTGTATTTGTGCGGTCTCAATGAGTCAACGTGCGTATCTTATAAAATCGATAAAATCATTTTGTGGATAGTTTGATTAATTATAGCCACAAGCATAGTACAGTATTTGTTTACATAGACTGCGCGCAGGGTAAAATACTCGATTGTGTATATGTGTGTGAATGTATGTGCGTGCGTGCGTGTGCTGCGAAAGCTCGTAAAGCTTCGATCATGCGCGCAACAGCTATGAGAAAAGGCTAAAATTAATCCGTACGCGCCACCGTAACTATAATAATTCTTTCTTCGAGCTTTTCGCGCTAAATAACGCTATACGCGCGCGAAAAGTTTTGAAAAATCAACAATGGCAGGGCATTTTAACGAGTATGAAAATAGTACGTGTATAATACAGAAATCACGGAGAGACAGCAGAAACTTGGTCGTCGGGCTGAGTGGTAAACGACCTATTTAACTGCGCGCGCGCGAGCGAGCGAGCACGAGTGAGAAAAAGAGAGAGAGAGAGCGCGCGCAGATTTTGCATTGTTACGCCTACTCGGCCGTGGACAATTAATTGAAAAGAGATCGAGCTTTACGCGCGCCCCGGCGCATAGAATTCGATGTTATTGTATGGTAAACAATCGTATACCCGCCGTCGTTGTTTAACTTTTGTTACATATAGATATATATTATTTATGTATACACATGTATCTTGTGTATTGTATGGTAGAAAGGACAGCATCGAGCGATGCTGTCGAGGCTTGCTCCAAATGCACTTTCCAATCTTACTTTTCCGACGTTTTAGAATCATGCGTGAGTATATGTAAATAAAATAATTTCAAACAACGATTTTTTTCGTACAAAATGCAAGATTCAAACTCGCTTCTATATATTTTACATATTTATAATTTTATGTATATATATGCGCGTTATTACATAAACACATATATGTCCCTTGATACATATTATAATAAATATAAACATGAACGTTGAAATTTCCATGATTTATGTCATTTATCCGAGCCTACAATGTATCCGTGAATTGTATATAGATATGTTTATAAAAAGAAACATCGCCGTCGTCTTCATCTCACGATTGAAATGCACGATAATAATGATAAAAAAGGACAAGAGAGACGCGGAGAGATAAGTGAACATGACATATATAATACGAAACCACACCGTGTATCGCACTGGCCAGTGACCAGCACTACGTACTATTATTGCTATTCTTTTTTTTCGTTCGAGCGGGCTTGACGACTGTAGTTGACTGTTGCTGCTGCTGCTGTTGCTGCAGTTGCGCATCGATTCTGTCGATCTCGGCGGCGTCCTGAGTCACCAGCGTCACCCTTCAAAAAATAACCAATCAATGTGCGATGAGTCGCGCAAGATATAATACGCTTTGCACAAAGTGCGACTACTTTTATAAAAGCGAAGCGTGATAGACATGATGAAGAACGAGTATACAAGAAGTAGAAGAAGAGGCGAGAAGAAGTAGCAGCAGCAGATGCGATGCTTTTGTTGCTGATGGTGTGTTGTATGTCGTTAGTGTTGCGCATTTCTTCGGCTTGTTTTTCATGGTTTTGACGTAATTTCAAGCAAAACATGCGTCGTGCTCGAGTTTGTTATAACAAGTATATTTTCGTGATTAACAGTAAGATAGTTACAACAAGCGATTACTATAAAAAGAAAAGCAGACTCGATGATTAAATCGTAATACAATAGCATTATAATATCGTAAGCTGCACTTTACCGTCTAAAGCCAAGTGTATTAGCATGTATACTAGTAAAATAAAAGCATAAAGATATAGTTATATCATACATAATGTAAACAGAAGTAGAAGCGAAAGTTAGCAGTAGATGAGCCAAATTAGCAGAGATAATTCGCAGTGATAAGAAACTTTCTACGTGTAAAAGCTCGAATTGTACCTCAACTGGGGCACGCTGAGGGGCCTGAGCAGGCTCTTGACGACGGGCGAGACGTCCGACGATTTGGGCAGTACGGGGCTGGAGGCGCACAGGGCGGCGCTCGTCAGCTGCGAGACGAGGGAGAAGCCACCGCCGCTCCCGTGACCTCCACCGCCGCCGCCGCTGCTGCGCTCAGAGTTCGAAGTCGTACGGAAGACCCGACGAAACTTGGACTTGAGACTGCCGCCCGTGCCGTGATGCTGCACCGGCTGCGGTGGCGGCGGCATCGCCATGAACTGCAAAATTGCGCGGACACGTGAGAGTGAGTTTCGTCACGTTACGCTGCCAGCTCACCTTGCCCTGGAGAATCTGCGCGGCCAGCTCGGGCTCGCTACCCCATCGGCAAGAGCTGCTCTTCTCCAGCAGCCTGTGGCGGGCGAACCTCTCGATGACCTCGGCGCAGACGTAGCGGCCGCAGAAACGAGCCCACTGCTCGGCCCGGAAGCCCCGCCCGTGATCCCGTAACGTCGGATTCGCACCTGTTTAACATTAGATATTAGAGGCATGAGTGGAGGTGAGCTCAAGTTTACTCGACTCGAAATCGACGAATCAGCTTCGATCTACACTTCACGTACACTTTCTTATCGTTACCGAATTAATGTGACTTTTATAAAAATAACAATAGATCGTGGGTCGAGCAGTTGACACTTACAGAGCACATTCAAACCCATTAGTTGAATAAAATAACCGCATTTTTTCAAATGTTAATGTTTTAATTACTTATTCGAAATGATTGCCACCTCACGGGGAATTTAAAACTAGAAAGCTTAAACTTAAACTTAGGAGTGCAGTTATAGGAGGAGTTGGATAAGATATTTTAAAAGATATTCAATAAGTAATGTTAAAAAGTAAACGCACTTCGATATACAGCGTGTCAAAAATTGAAAACTTAAAAGCCTCGTTTGACAAGAGAAAAAAAACTGGAGCCTCCGAAAAAATTCGAGTACTCAAAGAAAATTCGATTGCTCCACTCGAACTAAAAAAAGAAAAACACTCGATTCAAGCGAGTCAAACTTTTTGAGCGTACTCGCACACCCCTGCTCGAGCGAGCGTATAAATGAGAGGCGTAGATAGATTAGCGAAGCGTGAGCTAGCGCTACTAATAATAAAACATCGAGGTGCGACGATCGTTTACCGGCGAAAAGTAGAATTTTGGCGCATTTTGTCCTGCCTTGAAGCGCTGCTTTCATCAGTGGAGTAAAGCCAAGTGAGTTTCTCGCGTCAACCTCGATGCTCGGGCAGCGCTGCAGCAGTATATTCACGCACTCGGTCTGTCCTGCGAATCATCGTCGACATCGACGTTTTTATAATACAAAACTGCATATGAATGTAATACGCGAGCTGCACACCGTTGGATCATGTTTGTTTGTATGTTATACTCACCAGCTTGGGCGGCAAAGTGCAGCGGCGTGTTGGCTTCGTTGTCCGGTAGATTGGCATCGGCGCCGGGGAATCCCAGACAGGCCTCCAACACGAGCGCACTGCCGTTGCCAGCCATGTAGCTTATCGCCGTCTACCGGTATCATCGTCGTCGTCGTCATCGTCGTCGTCGTCGTCGGCGGCATCGATGCAAACGCCAATTTACCGGACAAAACACAGTCGCTCGTTTTATATAATTTTAAAGTAATTTTTGCTCTTGGGCCTCGCCGAAAAAGTCGCGAGTCATCGTCGTCGCACGAATCGCGAGTAAAGATCGGATACGCAGCAGCGAGCGAGTCGTATCCTGCGGGGCTCGTCGCAGCCGACGCCGCGTCCGTTTCGCGGCAAATCATTATTATGCTCGTGAGAAATCGAGTAGCGACTCTGCCTCGCACAAATGCGCGCGGACGATGCGAATAACACAATGTCATGCTTATCAAAGCTATACGATCGGGTTACATAAACGCTGCCACCGTCGCAGTGCATCGAGTACATACAGCTGTACACAAGTATATGGACGTGCGTAGACGAGTGCCGATAGCACCTATCCATCCATTATAAAAGGCCCTGTATAGGTGCCGTGAATGAAACGAAAGCTCGATGCGCATAGGTTACTTATCGCTGCGGAATGCCGAACTCGTCCATAATGTAAGTGTCGCGCGTAAATATACATATACAGACATAAGAGGAGCGCGACGGATCGAGTGAAAAGAGAGAATGCAGTAAGCTATATGCTCCTATTAAACGCGATCGCCGAGTCTCTTCGTCGTCGTCGACGACGTCTCTATAGATGTGGACACGAGAAAGCGAGTATGCGAGTCTGCGGAGCGCATCATTGGTAATCAATTTTTTTCATTCTTTTCCTTTCATTGTCCGCTTATTAAGCGCTCGTCTCGGTGCAGCGGCGGCGGCAGCGTCAACGCGCGAGACACGTATATGCGTCACACGATCCGTATAATATGCGACTCATATATATGCATCGCAGTAGCTATTGTGCGCGACTCGTGCAGGTCGAGAATCGAGACACGAGACGAGGCGGCCCGATCCGTATGATCTCGCTACATCGCGTTAACGTAGTGACGTCCTGCTCGGCTCGGCTCTAGCCGTCACGCGACTTTCGACTTTCGTACATGTATTCCGGCGCGTAATTCAATTCGATCGACTTTTTGGCAAGGTGTATTCAACAGGTAGATTATAGCCGAGTAGGTATAGCTTACCCTGCCACTGGGATCCCTCGCGTTGACGTCGATGTCGCCCAGGCCGGCTTTGCCGACGAGATTGACGATGCGTCGCACGACATCGTCGTCGGCATCCTGGGCCGCTATCAGGAGAGCTTTCGGCCCGCCGAGGGCCTCCTCCCACGAGGATGGCAGATTGCACTGCAGTCGATCGTCGTCCGCGAGCACACCTTGCCGATAGCCCACGCACGAGTGGAGCTTGGCCTGCTGGCCCTTGCGCTTCTGGCTGGGTCGAGCCTCCGAGGCACTGGCGAAGCTCGTGTCGGGACTGAACGACACGGACTTGTACGGGGAGACCGGCGAGGACTCGTTCGACGACGAGTGCCGGACCGCTATCAGTGGCGCCGATGGCTCGCGGATGTGTAAGCTGCTGCTGCTGGCCGACTTGCGACTAGGGTGTCGCAGTTGCTGCAGAAGAGAGCTGAAGCTTCGGCACTTGGTCGGGGCCTGTTGCTGCGGCTGATGCTGTTTGCGCTGGGGACTGCTGCTCGAGTCCGCCGAGGAGAACTTGAGTATGCCTTGACGGGGGATGACCGAGGGCAGCGACGCCGATTTCGGCAGACTGCTAGACTTTGCCGGTCGCAAGTCGAGATTCACCGGACGACGCGTACGATTGTTGTTGGCGCGCTCCGACTGCGTTGCCTGATGCTTCTTCCTTATATTAACGCTCGCTACTGTTCTCGACTGCTGCTGCGTCCGATGCTGTGGCTGCTGCTGTGGTGTGGCGCCGCTGCCGGCTACAACTACCTCCTTCTCCCTATTGTTACTCCTACTGCCGCTACCGCTGCTGCTACTACCACTGCTGCTGCTGCTGCTGCTGCTGATGCTGCTACTGCTACTGTTGGCGCTGACTGTGCTGATGCTGCTGATGCTGCTACGCTGATTGTACTGAACCAGGTGTCCAGTGCCACGATTCTCCACCAGTACTTTGCGTACTTTTTGCTGCTGCTGCTGCTGCTGCGAACATTTTCGTAACAAGATAAATACGATACATATATATATAAAAGTGCTGTAACTCGAGTTTCTGACGCGCGCAAGCACGCGTTTGTTCAACCCCCCAGAAACAACTGCCACGCTCAATTCTGTCGCTTGTCGTTTCCTCTTTTTGCTCTCTTTCATTCTTTTTATGATTTTCTTTTTTTTCTCTCTCTCTATCTTTTGCACTCCCAGAGAGCCGTAGAGAGAGTGAGAGAGAGAGAGAGAGAGAGAGAGACTCGATGTGCGTTGAACTACACGTGGAGCTTAAAGATAGACGTTCTCGCAACTAAATGTGTGCAAGAGTGAGTGTGTCAGTGCGTGGCCGTATATATATACACACGTAGAAGGAAGGCGATTCTCTCTCTCTTCTCTCTTTCTCTCTCTGGATAAATATAGCCTGCGGCTCTCGCGCATAGAACGAGCTTACGAACACACTCGAGCTTACACACATGTGCGACTTTCCCCAAGGCTTTCTTTTGCGATTTATCGGTAATTTCTTCAAAGCTCCAGCTCATACTCTCTCGCACACACATACTCACACACTGACTTACACAGCAACGCACACGCGCGCGTAGTGTCCCTAAACACACACACACTCAGGTATTATCGGTGTAGGCCAAGCTTTCAATTACTATTATCATGATTTTTTATTTATCCGTGTAAGCGCGCGAACCCGCAGCCGCATCTCTATACATGATATGTAACGCGTTCGAGCTATATCGGCCTCGTGCGCACCTATATACATACATAGGATAGATACATGTATACATTGAGGTACGCGCAAGTGTCAAGATATTATACGCTTCCGGCGTTGGCCGACGAATAAATACATCTACGTATATTGTACGTGATGTATATAGGTAGGCGAGCGACGCGAGCTGCTACAAAAGCTCTCGAGTGAGCTTATATATACGAGCTCGCGCAAACTTCACTAGCAGACATTCACTCTCTCTCCCTGTGTATGTATACGTGTCGTCCGCCCTACTGAGGTGTAGCGGCCAACCCTTGAGAGAGCGACAGAGAAAGAGAGGAACTTTATATTCATGATTTATCGATTAACGATATTTTACATCGGCAAAAGCTCCGCAGGCGGTGACGAGTCTTCGCTCCTCCTGTATCCTGCATTATACGCACGTGATAATAATAATTATAATAATATGAAAAAAAAAAGAAAGGAAAAAACAGAAGGAAACAAGTATGTTCTGGATTCTGGGCTGCGAAAGGAGGAAAATGACGTGCGTATGACTTACGGCCTGTTGATGATGTAGATGAGTCGTGGCGTTGCCGTTGCCATTGCTCGTAGTCGTTTTTGTGCTCGATTGAGCCATTGAGTCCGTCGGGCCGCACGAGTCCAAGATTATAAGGTCATCGGCGCGAGTTACTCATTGCCGTGTGTAAATACGAGCCGTCGAATTGACGCTCGAGTCGATTCCCTGCAAGCATAAAAGTTGAATGTTTTCTTTTCTCGGCTTGGCGCACAACGTCCGTAACGCACGAAAAAATCCTATAACCATGCGCTTACGTGTGCGAGCTTTTTGGAAAAAAACACGAGCAAGGTCGATATAAGAATTGCTTTCAGAGCTTTTATTCGACGTCAAATACATGCACACTTAATCTAATCTTTCAGGCACGCTCCATATGCAGGGTGGCGCGAGAACATTTTGCGCGTATGCTCCGACGATGCGCGGCAGAAGCCCGAGGCGTTATCTGATTTACAGCTGCGCGGAGCTTTTATCGAAAATGCTTAAAATGCTTTCCGCTAGCTTTTATCGATTCCGCGATAATCGATCGCAAGCCCGAAGATATTATATCGAAGCAGTAGCAGCACGGCTTTTGTGTCCTGGCCCGTGTACACGTTTTCGCCTTACCTAATTAGCCCACGAAACTCTATATTTCACGAAGGTCGCTGCGAGCTTTTATGGTATATATCAATTTGTTACCCCCAAGCTGCCAAGTAAGCAGCAGCAGCAGCAGCAGTAGTTTCTTTTTTCGTTGACGTATGTAGCGTCGCGCTCGTCAGCGCTTGTCATTTAGTACGTACAAAGAAAACAACAAGTTTTGCGCGCGAAAACAAAAATACCCCGCTACACCTAAATGCTACGTGACCGAGGTTATAGCAGGTACAAATTGAAAAATTCTCATAGGCGCAATTGTACACGTAACAGATGTGCTCGCGGATTATCGGCCCTATTGAATGTTCAACACGAATTTGAACTTGGAAAGTTCTGACAGCTCGTTTATATGCCTGCAGAAGGCTCCCCGCGCGCGAGCTCGCGCCCCCCTCGCGTTTCGAGCCTGGAGGGTAAAAGCCAATCGCGAGAGAATAATTCGTGTAATAACAGTATACAGGTTCGAAACCTGCCCGTATAATAATACTCGTCGCGATGAGAGCTTGCACACGCTCTCGCTGCCGCCGAAAGAAAAAGTAAATTGAAAGAACGAACGGCTTCGAGTAATTTTTTTCGCCGTTGAAAGCTCGCTTCGCCTCTCTCGAGTCTCGCGCAAGCTCGTGGAAATTAACACGTTGTTTTACACGCACGCACGGCACGTTAGTACTTCTCTATTTCGGTTGATTACCCACTGGTATTAGTGCATCGCCACGTGGTGCTAATATTGGCCATTGTCCAATATTTTCGTTCTTATCGCCTCTGTGTGCGCGAGCGAGAGTACATAGCCGCTTTTTGCGCGCGACTCGTGCACGTACACACCTCCTCGTCGCGAGACACACTCGCAAAAAGATCGACCAATTATCTCAAAGACAAATAACTCGGCGGCAGAAAATTTGCGATTCGAGATAAGACTACGACGATACAGCTCGACGCAAGAAGCTACAGGGCAAACTTTTCGATCGATCGAGCGTGAAAAACGAAGGTCGCGCGCCGCATAATATACTCTATGCCAAAGAGCTCGGGATGATCAAGGTGTTTACTTTCAAAGCAGCCACTCGTGAAAAACGTCGTATACTCACACATACATACATCTATAGAGACTCCTGTGTATGCGCGAATGTTTATTATAGTTTATTATGCTCAACTTGACAAAGTCGGTGGTGGGCCGAGCGCGTTCAAAGTTGCAAACAACAAAAGCAGCTAGGAACAACAAGAGCGAGCCGAAAGTTTAATAGAATGAATTATGATGATGATCGGCTTAATGCCTGTATGCGCGGCGGCGGCGGCCCCTCAGAGGTGAAAAGTTCTACTTACTCTCGCGATAGATAACAGCTCGCAGCGATGAGCCAAAGTGCATGTGCTATTGCAATAAAGACGAGCCGCGAAGAGCAGAAGCGCAACAGCGAGTCAGCCGCACCAAAAGCTATAGGCGGAACTCTATCGAGTTTCTCTGGCATATAAACGCCCCGCGGCTCGATCGAAATCCTCATTATGTACGCCAACCGATGAGCTGCTCAGTCATTCATATGTACGCGAGTATATTGCACCCTACACATCGAGTGCAATTATGCATCTTTCGCCGATCGAAGGTACGTATCGAGCGCCGTGAGTGAGCGCCGACTTCGATTCTCATCTCTCGAGTTGCATAATTTTGGGATCCAATGCCGAGCAAACCGTCCGAGGCCTTGTTAATTTTACGACTCGTCGTGTATCTCTGTATCTCGAGAAAGAGAGACGGAGAGTGAAAGAGAGAGAGGGACAACGGAAAAACCGCTTTGGTCAGCAAAATACGTGTCACCCGTCGGTAAATGAGAAAAAAAATGTATCACTGCTCCTTGGCTTTTTGGGGGCGCGATGTCTCGGTGTAAGTATCAAAGATAACACAACTGTGTAAGAGAGTAAATCGGTGACAATGAGTTCACGGGCCGGAGGAGCGTCTTTGCGATATCGCATCTTCGCGCAAAAGTCTCGCTTTTCAAGATGAATCGATCGAGAATAAATCCGTTACGTGAATTTCCACTCGTGTCCGCTTCGTTGCATGATGTATACGAGGCGCGCACACGCTCACATATATAGAGCAGACGCGCAGACACACATTCGTGCATTTTCCGCCGTCTCAGCGGAAAAAGCAGCAGCAGCAGAAAAAAAAGAGAGGGGAAAAAAGGCAAAAAAGCTCGACTTACATATCTGGACAGTGTCGATGATCGGCGCGATCGTTAAACAGGCGGATAATCAAGTTTTCATCGTGAGGCGCAATTGCACGGCCATAAAACTCGATACACTGGGAAAACTGGCAACGGGCGAGTTCCGAGACTCGTGTGTTTACCCGCGCTGGCACACTGGCCGCCGACGCTTCGTAAACTTTCGCTTATAGGCGCGCGAACAAAATGCGATGCGCCCACTGCTTATACATACATGCAATCTTCTGCTACTGACGCTGCCGCTGCCGATGATGATGACGATGATGCTCCGACTGGCTACTATATAGCCTCGGCGGTGCAACTAAACTAAGCCACTATCCACTACTGTGCGAGCGGCGCAATCAAGACGATGATGGGCCAAAGTTCAAAATCTTCTTTAGCCGAGCCCAGCGGAGCACCGAAAAACGACGCAGGCGCGCACATCGTCAGCTCGTCGCGGCACACGTATAGTAGTGGTTCGCAAGCTCTCTGTACTCCATCATATTCGTGCAGGCACCTGCCTGCAACAGCGGCAGCTTTTGATTCGTTTTTCGTTTTGCTTGTTTTTTTTTTCGTCGTCACATGACTGCAGCATCAGCCGCCACCGACGTAGTCGACGAGCTTCGCGCCATCGGATCGACGCATTTGGGAGAATCGCGCGTTACGAGCGCGTGCGAGCTTGCGGCTCGTATGTATGCAGCCGCGCGAGGAGCTTTTCTATTTCAGCAGGCGCGAGAGCCGAGCTTGTGTAATCTCGGGCTTTATTTAGTCGGACGCAGTGCGTTGGCATTGCAAGAAGACGAATACGACGACGACGACTACGAAACGTACGCGCGAGACAACAATCTATACGTCGAGTTATTTCAAATATCGTTTGTGATTCGCAGCTCGTTTTCTGCGTCATGTGCGTTGAGCCAAATTTCGGGAGAAAAAGAAAATTGCACGAATTTACGCCGTTTCTTTTCTTTTTTTAATAAGTCATGTACAATGTACATTTTTATTTTCAATGATAATTCTTAGTAATATAATTTTTATATATTGCTAAACACATTTATTTATTTGGCAACAATTAACAACAATTTGAATTTCTTTTATTTTGTGTCGCTAGAGTCTCAACAGTGCTTCTATATAATTTTCTTCATAATAATTATTTAGATTATACAATATAGAAGTAAATGATTTTTCTTTCTTACATTTTGTTTTTTGAATATTTTTATTATTTATACTGCAAACGAAACTTTTATTTTCTTCGCAGTGATTCAACGCACTATTAAAGCGATTTTTATCAATCTATGTATAAAGTATACAACCTATGGCACAAATGACAACATGACAACCCATTCTCAGTGTCTTTTTGGAACAATATATGTAATATCGGTGATTTCTATTTACGCAAGTTGTCATGGGGACTTATGACACTTTTTTACTTGTTGCAGGATAAAAAAATTGTACAAGTATATTAAAAACAGCTGTGGATCCTTTTCTACACACTCACACACCATCTTAATCGAGTTAAAATTTATCGTTCATTAACTTTAATTATATTAATATTTATGTGTACATCACTGCACATAAAATCTAAATTATCTCGCTTTTTTCACATTTAGCGATTTTTCCATTATCCTTCATTTATTTATTGTACTGATTTTTCTCTCGCGATATTACTCTGAATCCCAATTACATATTTTTCACTTTTCATCCGCTTAATATTTACTAATTTTAATATATGGATATCGAATAAATCGTCTTGGTTTTTAAATATTAATGAGAAAGGCAAGTGTTGCGCAAGTTGACGCATCGGCAGAGAACATTATTATTCAATGTATATAATAAATTCTACCAAAAAATTATCAAAGTAATTCTTGGACTTTTTGACGTGTAACGTATTTATAGGTATTTCGCTTGTTACAATATTATACTCTTATAGTCAAAAATTCACTCTATATAACAAACATGCTCTTCAGAATCTGAAAAAGGTCTTTTTTGGAGTCATAAAAATGACAACGTCGCTTACACATGTGTAAATAAAGTATAGAAATTATGAAATTTTTTATTGGCTCCGTTGTCAATTGCTCGTCTAAAAAAGTTTGATACAGGATAACGCGTCTCTAAATGGAATAGCGTCAAAACACATCCGTGAGTGTATCGTCTGGCAGTTGGTTAGATCAATAATGACGACTGTACGTACTATGGCGAAAAATCGAAGTTATTCAAAATTATTCACGAGTTCTAATTGGTTAGCATCGCTGAAAAATGTCGTGACTCATACGAACTCAGTCTTGGTTCATTGTGTCAATACGTATACGCGAACACAACGATCATACTGAAAAATTAGTAGCATAAGTTCAGTCGGATATGAATTTTATTTTACAGATATATATACGTGGAAATTATTATTGGTCAGTACATCCGAGTATAGAGCACCGAGTTCACAATATATATATTTTTTTTATATACGTTCCATATCCTAAGGCGCTACAAACGACCAAAGAACGAGCTTGTATTTAGTTAAGACGTTTGATATGGTTGCATTACTTGTTGACTAAGTTAAAAAGACAAAATCCACGTAGACTGCGATTGAAATTCTACGGTTAAGACATTTTTTGTGATATAGTTGAATTTTGACAAGTATTTGGAAGATGTGAACGTCATCAGCGGTTGAAGGGGATCGGTGAGAGAGATAATGTTAAACGATTCAGACCCACGAAGCCGGCACCCATAGAGGCTCAGATTCGAGTTTGTGAATGGCGACTAGCAGGTGCTCGAAAGCCTTGGCCAGATCGGCATTGACAATTGTCTCGTCGAAAATGTGCGAATACAAATATTCTATTCTGGCAGCGCTGCGCAGCATATCTTTCAACTCGTCGTCCTGTAAAAATTTGTCAATAATTCAGTACAGATGCGAGGTAAAGTAAAGTAAATAGATCGATGAAACTCACATTGAAGGCACGCGAGTTTGTCTCGTCGAAAGTCGAGCGGGCTTTCGTCGCGTTTCTGGTCTCTTTCAACACTTCGAAACTCGGTGGCTGCACGTAAAGTATGTAAGGCTTGAGCTGAGGCGTCCTCAGCATTTTCAGCGCCTGATAATGTGGACTGAGAAGACAGAGATATCCGGCTTCGACCAGCGAAGTCACGCTCTCGGCGCTCGTCCCGTACAGGTTGCCTTTGTACTCGCCGTGCTCGATAAATCTACCGGCTCCGATGTCGGCTTCCATTTGTTCGCGCGACACGAAGTTATACTCTTTGCCGTCGATCTCACCTGGCCTTGGGGGCCTCGATGTAACTGCATCAACAAAGAATGGATGAGCGAGATAGATAGAAAGTGACGTTCCGAAACCACACGATACTTACATGGTACTGGGGATCGGTACTTTTCCGGATCCGTGGCGACGAGTCGCCTCTTGAGCTCGTTACGACCAACCCCTGGTGGTCCGATGAGAACGACCGGTCGATAGAGTCCGGGTCGGGGATACAATTTCGTCACTTCCTCGTAAGTGGGTATGTGCTCGCGATCAAAGTCCTCGTTCTCCGCTAGGTCATAGATGATTTTTTTAATCTTATTATTGGCACGCAGAAGCTGTGGCGATGACAAGCCGATGCAATAGCGATCGTTACAATCGTCGATGCCTTTAATGAAGGTGTCGGGCTGCGATTCGTGCAAGCAGGACGTAAGCGAGCTTTTGCGGGAACGGGGCAGGATTATGGGGCACAGAGCGGTCAAAGGCACGGAAATTGAACACAAGCCTGCGGTGGCGAAAACACATACACACACATGGTATTATGCGAGCGGATGATCGATGCGATGAGAGCGAAAATATATATAATGTTAGCTGCGATGAGTGACAATTGTTATGCGTGAGTGAGAGAGATGTTATATACTTGACCGGTGGCTTACTTAAGGTATCATCCTCGTTTTCGTCGCGCTTCTCGCGCTTTTGTCGCTGAACGGTGATGCGGTGCTCCTGGAGCGCCCGACTGGGTATCAGGCCTGCCCTCATGTTGCGGTCGCCTTCCTTCCGCGCCTGCCACCAGTGAGCGTCGTCCTGGCAGACGATGTGAAGTACGTCACCTTTCTCGAAGTCCAGGCCGGCCTCGGTGCACGGCGTCTCCGGGTCTTCCGACGCTTTGTACGAAAAGTGAGCTCGCACTCGTACTTTGCTCTCGCGAAGAATGTTTTTACTGTCAGCTGGTATGATTTTGAAAGTGATCGTCCCTTCCGAATGTTGCTGTAACAAAAGAAAATTTGCTGTAAAATTGCGATCGTGGAAAAGTAGGTTGAATTATATATAAAGTGTGTTACCAAAATTTTTAATACGTCATTGGGAGTTTTTCCTTCGACGCTGATGCCGTTGACTTCTTGAATCTCGTCGCCGACGTGAATGAGACCTGACCTGTCAGCGGCACCACCGTGCATCACTCGAGCGATCACAATTTTGCCGCTTTGCTCGTCAGTCTTTATGGTTGCACCCTACATTATTTACCAAGTCAAATATTTATAGCGTGGCAGAGAGATTTTTACTCGACACAGACTAATGTGGATTTTGCGGATAAAAATCATAAATTGGAAGAAAAAGCGTTAGGGAAAAATTAAAAAATTTGATATGCCGTTTTTTTTTTAAAATGTTTTATTTAGCAAAAAATAAATAAAAAGCATATGCCCAATTTGTAGACAAAGATACAAACATAAATATGTACATTAACATTAACGATTAATAATCATTTTTCAAACAACATTCTTAAAGCAAAAGGTAGTAAAACCAAATAGATTTTTATAAGAAAAATAGCTCAACACAAGTTCACAGCATGTACAATACAATAATAATAAAGCTCTTTGTCAAATAAAAAATAATACAATTTGTGAATTGAATAAAATAGTGCTATCCATCAATTGTAAAAAATATATTCATTTAATCTCAGTCTGCAACTGTTATCTTACACTTACCATTATTGGTTCAACCCCTGAACCAGACTTCAGAGCAGATTTTAAAAAGGAAGGAAAACATTATTACTCACAAGTATATCACAGGTAACTATAAAGTTATCACAAAAGTTTGTAGTCTCAGTATTTAGTGTAAGAATTAATTTCATAGAAAAAATATTTCTTATGAACAACATTCAAAATGATAATTTAGTCAAACATGAAAACAAGGCATGCAAGTCATCATGTAACTTGTCACAACACAAATTAGTTGTTTTGTAAAACTCTAGTTAATACTGTAATAATTATCAATTAAGTTTACTTAATTTGACACAAAAGACAAACACAAAACATCGTTAACAACATACCAATGGTTCATCAGATTTCACCAATTGCACAATTTTAACAGTTTCTTCATCCTCATCTATTTCCATTGGAACATCAGGCAATCTTGGATAATAATCTTTTTGAGCAACCGTATCGTGAGATATGAGAAGAGCCTAGAATAAACAAATACTTATCAGTATCTTGAATACAAGAGATTTATTATCAACATAATTATCTTACTTGTACATGAGGCTTTTGCAATGTTTGAAAAAGTTCCTTGATGTCATCGTTCACATGAGTCTTTGCAGAGAGTAGGTTGAGAACTTCTACATTGATTTCCATGGCATTAGAAAGAATAGGACAAAATTTGTCATCTTTCAGGTTCCTTAAAATTTTGTTGTAGACATGCACAAGTGCATTCAATTCCTTGGACTGCAACAACTCGCTGAGATAGTTGAAGTCCTCGTCTGTGCAGCTGGGAATCGCAGCTCTGTTGGCTTCCAAGGCACTTAGTAGTTTGCTCAAAGCTGAAAAGCCAACAAGATTATCATATAGTAGTTATGTGAAATAAATGAAAATGAGATTGAAAAAGGACTTTACCAGGATCCCAGTTTAAATTGTCCATAGCGATAGGAGCTGGTGATACCTCTTGTCATAATTTGCGCCAAGGTGGGCGCTTTTAATCTCGCTCTTTAAACCTCTTTTTGTATTCTCTTAAAAAAAAGCACTCGTGTCAGTTACAGGTGACTGACTACTCACAATTAAAAAAGACACAATAACGGCCAACGCACGCGTGGCACTGCAGCTCCGTCCCTGTCTGTATGCAGTATATATGCATATACGAGAAGTTGTGTACGTGTGTATGCTGGAAATGTGCTGAGAGCGAGAGAGACAAGCTCACAAGTACGGGGAAAAAAGCTACGAAGCTTGCGAAGGTAAGGGTCGAGTGGAATGCGAGCGAAAGAGAGAGAGAGAGAGAACACAAGAGCTCGTTGAATTCGGGTCACTGGACGATGACGGCGATCGCAGTCATGATCTTTTGCCTATACTGGCGTAAGGTGCACGTAGCGGAGCATAGTCACGCGAGTAAATCGAGCCCCCGGAACGCTGATATATATTTCGAGGAGCTATCTTTATAGCCGCGGGCTGCCGCGCACCAAAGTCCGTCGACGATTGCACAGCACAGAGAAGGCAGACTTAGCGCAGTACACGCTTTCGCACACTTGTGTAGGTATATATAGGCGCGCACTGACTGCCTATATGGTCGGCCGTGTCGCTGTACAAGCTCGCTGAATGTATGTATGTGTATATTATTGACTCGAAGAGTTGGTGGTGTGTGCGATATTCGAGCTTACGTAAGCGAAAGCTGTCACTCGACACTTTAATAACGTATATACGCACTTGGTGGAAAGGCAGCAGAGAGATAGAGAATGAGCTGGAACGACGGTGTAGCTCGCGAGCTTTGGCAATTCAGCCGTCGTCAGCAAAGGGGAAAAGGAAGTGCACACGAGTCTTTGTAGCGCGAGGCAGTAGCAGCAGCAGCAGCGAGGCACTGTAGCGCGCGGCTGCGTCGACAGTTCGACACTGGGCAGTGTGTGTCTGTATGTTGTCTATGCGAAAACGCGTGGCGTGCTCGGACGCATCGATTATGCAGCTCGCGACAGCTGCGGACACGACTGTACAACTCCGCAATGCAACAGCCCAACAACGAGATCGGCTCGACGTTGCGACGATATATCCGTGTGCAGCTGCAGCGCCTGCTCTCGCGTCGAGTTATAGGTGTATATATTTGAGCGTGTTTTTGCGGCGGCTAATCATTCTTCATTCTCAAGTACGCGCGCCTAGACTACACTGCAGCAACAGCAGCAGCGATCGAGAGACGACGACGACGCGGGAGCGCGAGCCGAGCGTCTGCTAGCCCGGAGCAACTGCTGACTGCGCGACGCGTGACGCGAGCCGACAGCTTCCCCATTGGCTATTTCAAGATCTCGCGAATAATATACACACACGCACAGAGCGTGGCTATATAATACTTCTGGCTACTGCTATCACAGTCTCTCTACTTGGATAGTTATAGTCGCGAGTCTGCGACACGGCTATGTTTAACTTCGGTTAATGCACGCGCGACACTCTCGAGACGCAACGTCGCAACTCGAGCAATTATGCACCCAATTTACACACACACACACACACACTTGGGCTCTTCGGACACGAGTCGAAGTTTGGACTCGGGGACGACCCTTGCAGAAAACGAGAAAACACGTTGAAATACACGAGCGTAAAAGGTAGCGAGTTACTGCATCGTGGCCGAGCTCGCGCGCACACTGCACAACACCAACTGCCACAAACACCATGTAGCTATGTGTGTGCGACTATTGTTATGTGTGTGTCTGTGCAAGGGCGCCCCCCGCATCGTCTCGCCCGTCTCTCGTCGTCATCCGACCATTCCGACCTGCCTCAATGCCTACGGCCGTACATCAATGGGAATTTCGCGCATGCGTCCCTTTCGAAAATCAGCGAGAGAGACACACGACTGGCACGAGCCAACCGCCAGACGACGACGACCTTGGATTCGAAAACATTCGCTACTAGCGAACTGTTTGTCGACTCGTTTCCGACAAAAAAAAATACGGCATGCGACAAGTCTCGTGTGCAGAGGGATTTTATATATGCGGGTTTTCCGATGATCCGAACGAACTACCTGCACAAATGGAGCGTTTCGCGAGATCGATCGAATTTTCGGAATCGAGCCATCTCCTACCAGCCTTTTGATTGCCTCGTTCAAAAATAGCACTATCGAAATGAAATTCACGGGCCTAAATATACACGGCAAGTAGTCGCGCTGATATCCGCAGTTAATAAAGCTCGTTATCGGCGCGCAAGCTCTGCGACTCGATCGCTCACCGCAGCCGTTTTTTGGCTCGTCGCACAGATGGCAGCACCTACCGGTACTACGGGTGCGAATGTTTATCACTGCGATTCGACACGCCAACGGCCGAAGCAACTAAAACCACGATTCGATTGCAGACGTCGTTCCTCGCCGCGAATCTTTATTATATCCTATACCTTTACGCACACGCATGAATTCGCTTGTATCTGGCAAATAAAAAGGCGCGAAATTAGGCGCCGAGACGGTTGTCGCGATTTGTCGCGTTCGTCAAATGTTTTTGAAAAGCTGATCAGTCAACGAGTGATCGACGTGCCAGCAACAACGGCTTCTAATCTACGTGTAGCACGAGGGAGATCGGAGCAGAGAATGGACGGATGTAAGGATATGAATCGGACAAGAGGTGTGGAGGACAGCGGAAGATTCATCGAGGAGAATCACCAACTCGATCAGGGATCTTCGTTCTCGCTCGTTCACGGCTGGCCTTTCCAAATCTTTTCGAACACTAGGCCTTGCCGGTCATTTGAATTTTCACGCAGTCCAACGGCTGAAGTGGTTTCTACTTCTTTATCAAACAGAGTCGCGGTATGTTTTTGCCTTTTGTTTTTTCATCTTCCAATCGTGCCGCATTTTAACCTAAATATATCGCGCAAGTATACATTTCGACGCAAATCCAAAAAGTGAATATAAAAATCGTTCGTTCTATCGCCTGTTCTTCGTCTCGTGCGTCGCGCCACTCGTTCTTTTCTTTTTGCATCTGCGCCCACCTTGTTTGGCAACAAATGCGTCGGCGTTCAGCTTTCTTTTATTTCTCTCGCTGCTGCTTCTCCTTCTATGCATTAATCGCGCTCGCGTTGCCCTTTTTTGTTTTCAAATGTTTTGGATAAATTTGAGATTGCTTTTTAATCGCCGGTGTCAATGACTTTTCGATTGAAACACCTCATATGATCGAACTTGCCTATCTTCAACCTTGACAGTTACGATTTGAAATTACCACCGTGACTGGAGCGAATCCATAAGTTGCTGCGTACTTCGAAAGACGCAGCCAGAAGTGTCTCGTGTTATATCGGAATACATCATAATATCGCATTGACTCTATAAATTGATTGTTTTTTTTACATAAAAACAAATTGTATATAGAGTCTGAACGATTTAATCCCTATCTCTAATTCTTATGAGAACACATTGAAATTCACATTGTATATTGAAAAGTGAGAAACGCATTATCTATATACTGCCCAATATCGAATTATCTATTTTTGTTAAGTAATTTCTTCGATATTCAAGTTTTTTTATTCGAATCTAATTGCAATGAATTAGTAATGTATCGAATTGACGGAAATTTTCTTCTCTACAGCGTCCGTGTCCCGCTAATCTCTTGAACGAGTCTCGTTACTTTTGAATTCTGGTAAGTTTTTATTAATTTTTCATCGAATAAATCGATATTCTCTATTTTAATCGTAAATACGATTGCCGAATTGAGTGTATTAAATAAAAGAAACCGAAATAATCTAATTCGGCTTATATTGGCGAGTTGCCTGCATGGCCGACAGATGGCGAAGAGCTGCTCGACTGCTGCCCGAGCGCATACTGATTCATGCATCATTTTTCGCCGCGTACACTGAAAAATAAATTTCAAGACCGAGCCTTGGAATAATCGATCGTCTCCAAGTGCATAACCGATAAATAGAACATCGTTTTCCCGAAATTATAATGCAAATTGCGAGAGGAACGAAATAATGCAAAATCGCTTGTTTATTCGAAGATACGATGGCACAAAGAATATAAATAATATGCGATATTTTTGGGTTATGCAAATTGCCTAATGAAATCAATGAATGAAAAAGTCACTGTCCTGGCTCGCAGCGGCGCAGGCAAGGAAACGAGTTTTACCTTGGGAGGAAGAGGCCAGGCTATATACATGTTGTCATTTAAAAATCATGAAAGTTTATTTCGTTTGCGTAAAAATAGATGAGAGTCGCCGGTTTTGTCGCGAAACACAATAGTTTCGTCGCGCTTCTGAAAATGTTTTCTGCAAAATTTTCATATTATCGAATCACGCCGCCGTCCGAAATACACGACTCCGGCTGAATATACATAAATCGAATGATTATCGAATTCTTCGCCACGGACATAAGAGGGGGGCAAAATGAATAGAAAATAAAACGCGCGAAGCAGCTCGACGCTGCACACCGTGCATGTAACGAAAAATCGCTAATGCCTCGGCAGTTTTGTAACTAGCGAGTTTGTAGCTGCACGCCGGGCATATATAATAAAAAAGCTCCGTCCGAGAGAGAGATCGCAGTCGCAAGGAAGGAAAAACAAAATCTCCGTCTCTCAATTACAGTCCGAATTGTTATAATTTACGATACAGCATATAAAATGTATATCTATCTATCCGCGCTAATGCTTATACAGCATAAAATCTCGGCAATTGGATTATCAATTTTCCACTATATGCGCTTCATATATATATGTAAAGGGTACAAAAAAAGGAACGGAGCAAAGCGACGGAAGTTGGATATTATTTGAAAAATGTGTGTATATCCTTTGTTACCGAGGCAATGAGAAAAAAAGGCTATACATAGTACGGAGCGTTTTAACGAGAGTCCTAAATATTCGTTCTCTCTCTCTCTCTCTCTCTCTCTCTCTTGCATCGAATATTTCGTTGTACTGCTGCTGCTACTGCCGGGGGGTGGGAAGGGAGGGCAAGTTGTACGTGTCAGAAGAATGTTTTACTAGCCTTAATTTCGGGTGCTTTCGCAGCCAATATGTCGGGCAGTAAATTCCAAACTTTCGCTTCGCGTAGCTACTAGTACTGCTGCTACTATTATAGTTGTTGCTTATATACAATAAAGAGTAGCAAGTGAAATCCTCTGGATATTAATTTCTCTCTCTTTTTCTTTCTCTCTCTCTCGCTGCTGCCGCTGCCACTGCTGCTATGTGCGCTCGCGAACATGACTTTTTTTTCATTCAATATTTTTCTTTTTTCTTATAACTTTTTATATTTTTCCTGCACCCCGCGCGCGCGCGTTTTGTATTTTTACGACGTTCCCGAGCTTGTTTCGCTCGTAATCCAGTTAGACTCTTCGACCCGCGCTACATATACAGTCTCTCGCTGGCGAGGCAAGTTTTCGCGCTCGCTGAAAGCTCCGTGCGATTATTCTCCTCGCATTAATCCATCGTCGGGAAATTGTCGAAAAAAAAAGTTTCGAAAAACATGCAGGGGGGTTGGGAGAAAAGTCGCGTTTTCGAGACGCCGTGGCCGCGGAAAATGTTAACGGCGCTTACGCACCTTTATTTGCTCAACTGCCGTGATAATGCTGGCGGTCAACGGCTTGTACACCGCAGCCGAGCGAGTGCTATACACCCTTTTTTTCCTTCTTTCCTCTTCCCACGCGCGCGCATACTTTTTATAATAAAACTTGGCAATTTGTTGGTCGCGTAGGCGTGTTGCATTATTAACGGAGCAAAAGAAGCATCGCAAACACTGCGATGACGCGTCTATCTCTCTCTCCTCGCGAGTTATTATGCCTTCTAAATGTTTAATGTGTTTGTCTTCTCCGGCGCGCGGCGGCCGCGTGTTTCGCGCGCTTCCGAGGCTCTCTCTCTCTCTCTTTCTCTCTGGCTCTGACCATAGCGCCGAGTAGCTGGCGCAGTAGCAGTAGCAGAGGCAGCACCGGCAGCACAGGCATGGCTTTATGTTTTACTAAGTAAATTACCGAGAGCGCGCCTGCTCGCAAGTTTTTTTTTATTTTTTCCGTATATATACATATACATATAATAATACCTTCAGTCCGACTACGTCGCTGCTGTCTGCTGTTTATACGCGAGCACGCGCCTATGTGAGTGTGAGCGAGTGTGTGTATGTGTGTTAGCTCAATCGATTCGTGCTTCTGCGAGCTTTCTCTATCTTTTTCGACCCTCGTGCCCTCCTCTTTCTTCTTCGTTTCTCCTTTGCTTCTTCGAATTTTCGTACGCGTGTGTATATGTATGTATACGCATATAGACAGTTCCCTCGTCAAATATTTAACTGCTTCCTGCCTTGCTTCTTGCCTTTTCCCCCTTTCGCCTCTCCCCTCCCCCTCTCTCCTTGTTCTCGACGAGCAAGACGTCTGCTTTAATCTCGTTGCATTTTTCCACATAAAAACTAAACTATGAATGAATCAAATTCCTTGCTTATAAATATTCTACATTTTTAGGAGCTTTCTCGCTCGAGCAGGGAAGAAAGTTTTTACAACTTTTTACTTTGCTTTGCTGCCTCTGCTTGGAGCAAAAGCAACTGCTCAACTGGTCAACTTGCAACGAAACAAACTTATGTTAAAGATTCTCGAAATCCTATCGACCATGTATTTGATTACCCTACTTCGATTGAAGTACATTCACTTTTCTGCAGAAAATTCTTTACTTCGTATCTAATCCACAGAACGGTCGATTGATCGATTT